TTTAGCACTCTTCTGAAATTCGTGGTCTGCCAGGCAAGTGTCTAACTGTGTCGTTGGCCTGACTGGTTTTGCATCACGTAAAAATTTTTCTTGAGTTTGTTGAATTCTCGTCTCTCATCTTCTTATTGTATTTACCTCCGTGCAGTTTAACACTCTCTTTGTGTTGCGTTGATGTCACCCTATGTGCTATTTGTTTTTTACACCTGATGAAGATCGCTTGTGTTGCGGTCGAAACGTCGTGATTGATTTGTTTTAATATAATTTTACGGTATTTCTACATACGTGACTTTACCGAAAAAAGCCATGAGTAACACAGCAATTGTGTATCAGTTACAATCATTTGTAAATCAACTGTTGGATGAAGGCCTACACAAGCTGTGGCAGTCATGGAGATTGTCTGGCCATACTTCACCACGTTGGTCGGTGTAGGCTGAAAGGAGGAGATAGAGGAGGCGGGGTAAGGAGTAATTCAGGACCGTGGACCCAGGTCAGGACTCAAACTTAAGAGTTGGCCACGTTTCCATTCACAGTGTGTGCTCAAGCACTCCACAATACAGACACGTATAGGTTACAGTACACAGATTGCTATATATATTTTTTGCAGAGGATGTTTTGCAGACATATGCTTCGATGTCGTGCTTACACCTTCCACAACATCATCACCGGCTAGAGATGGGTTGAGAAATGAGTGATCGTCAGCAATAGCAGGGCCAGTTCAATTGAGACAATGTCCCACGTTTCTCTCTCTCTTGTCTCTGCACCCGGTGATCAGGTGCATTTTGGGGGGGGGGGGGGGGGTTTCTCCAGGCTTACTTTTTGTTTGACCCTCAACATTTAGACACGTGCGTTTAAATCATTTGGCTGCTGCTATAAATTCCCACCAACGATATATATGAGGCCACTTCGATGGGTGGTGGCACGTGTGTGTGGCCAGGTCGCGCCTGTAAAAAAAAATGAGCGCTTGGCTCCAGTGGGCTTTGGTGAAATAAAATAATACAATAGACGGTATTCTAGTTTAAACAATCTCACCCAGACAGAACTTCGGTTATCTTCAGAATGGCAATGCATTCTAAATCGTTAATTCTACACGACCGATGCGCATACAACGTCGCAAACCCTAAGAATATTTAAGCGCAATTTACCACCAACAAATATATAACAAAAATGTTGCCTATGTAGTACAGGCGAAGAAAAACGCAGACAACTGGAGTTGCAATACAGTACTGTAAGCACATTGCAATGCCGCATTCCAGTGCAGAACTTTATAATTCATATGTTCATGCAGTACTTCATTTATATTTTCATGAAGTACTTCATTCATATTTCATGCAGCGCTTCGTTCATATTTCCACGAAGTACTTCATCATTCATATTTCATGCAGCACTTCATTCATATTTTCATGCAGTACATCATTCATATTTTTATTTAACGCTTTACATTGCTGTGCGGCACGTACTGTACTTTAATAAAAGTCATTAATGTTTAAGCAAATGACTGAAATGGATTTACAGTCAACTGCTGATCCACTCCGCTGCTCCTGATGCGGTTATTTGGCTTAAACCACATGAATGTGAAATGGTATTTGTTGCATCTACATCAACCGCCATACAAAATAAGAAAACTTATTTTATAGGCACGAAGAAGAAGACTGTACTGTATGCCAGCTTTAGCACGCAATATTTTCATGCAAGACTTTCAATTAAAGTTAATTACTGCTGCACGCTATTTGAGACCAATTTTCCAGACAACTGCTGCACTTGCAGAACAACTTACGTTTGACTGACGTGCAAGAATAGTGTCTGCACTGAAGTGCATTGTATCGTGGTGTAACCTGTACTTGTTTATGTTTAGTACTGTGGCAACCTATCCTTTCTGTACCCATTTTCTCCCAAAACTTCATCCAAAGGTTCAGTTGCAAAGGTTGACACATCTTCTCAGTGGTCTCTTAAGCTGGATAAAAATACATCCGCGTGCAAACTAAACCACCGGGCTACCGACCCAAGTCAATGACCAGCGTGGTGAAGTATGGTCAAGCGAGCCTCGTGAACGAGGCGTCGTGGTTGACACCTTTATCTAGCAGTAGAATTGACAAAGGACTGATACCCAGGACATTTAAAAAAAATGTGATATTGTGTAGGTATTGAAGGTTGATTCGGGGTAAAACCAGTACTAATTTATCCACATTGAAAATGTAATTTGACGAATAAACATGGTAATTGTAGGTCTGTTGTACTATAGATTTGGAAGTGTTGCGTTCGGATTTGGCTATTGATAACTCTTAATAGATCCATTCGCGTGAAATACCACTTCAAATCCAGTTTCGCATCAACTTCACCTGTGATGGTATTCACGTCTCCATTAAACTAATTTAATGTTTCGACTGTCTGTCCAGTAACTGATTGACTGCTACTTTTCAACAAAAGCTTATGCATTGTAAAATAAAACCATCAACTCAACGCATGTAGCGTTAAAAGTGAAATGCATTTCCTGCACATTGCACTTTTTCATCAACCCTTATTCCTGTATAAAACCTCCGCTGTAGATTCGTAATCTTCTGCAAATGGTGGGGTATGTTATAGTGCATTGTCCTGTTAATGATTAACGCGTGTGTGCTTCCATTAAATGTTAAACTGATTATTGTAATTTTGTTACATTTGCGTGTTGTACAGACACGTTTTTTTTGCTATTTAGCGAATACACTTTTACGCGTGAATTTTACACAGTTGTAGCACAGCACGGCTTTCACTTGGTCTTTAAGCTCAACTCACCACATCTCCCAAGTTGTAATCTCAATTGTGGACTCGATATCTTATCATTGACAGCGATGAGGACGAATACGGATACAAATTGAATCCCCTGTACAGGGCGTGTTCACACTATAGTTGTTGTTTTTTTACGCGTGGTCATTTTAATGTTAGTATTGGTATAGATAAAACGAGACAAAACGGTTTTGCAGTCAATTTAACTCTTTAATATCATTCAGTTGCTATACCACGTTTTATAAGCTGGTTGCACAGCAGTGAAACACACGGGAGGCGTGCTCCTCTGCGTCCGCATGGTGGTGGTGATGATGGTGGTGGTGGTGCTTCCTCGCTCTGCAAATTGAACAAATACATTTTTTGCGTGTTAAACTTGCGGTGAAAAAGTTCGACGTTTTGTGATGGTTCGTGGCAGTAGCTTGTTGTTGTTGCTGTTATATTCCTGGGGAGGAATAGCGTACCTGTCAACCCCTTGTCAGTGCCGACCTTATTACAGACCAATTCAGAGCTTGCTGGTCACCTCCCCACCCCCCCCGCCGCCGTGCCTCTTATAAATCTCAACGTTCATCCTACAAAGTCCCATCATCACAAGGTGAGAAACACAAAATAGACCCCCCAAAAATGTTGCCCGTATTGAAACAGCTGTATGCGGGGTGTACTACTAGCAGCATGGGTTGACAGGTATGGCATAGGAGCAAAAAAATCATCAGGCGAAATCCTCCTCGCAGCTACTTTTGTCTCATCATCGAACAAAGACGGCCACGGCATCGCGCCCTCTTCCATCCCCATGTTAGGAAGCCTTTAAAGCAATGCACTTTTAAATCCAGATTGAAAACTCATTTATTTAGAACTTATTTTTGCGTTTCGTTGGTTGTCATTCCGCCCAGCACCTCCAATTAACAGGGTTGATGGTTGGCTACGTCCGGTGCGATAGAAGTTCAACATACGTAGTACATATGACCAGAGCGATTGTGATATATATAGATGCAGCCTCGTACATGATAGGCCAGGTTTATAATCCCATACCTTTCAAAACAAGCGGGTTACCCCGTATTCTTGTACAGGGAAATGTAGTTTACGGGCGAAACTATTTTTTGTTAAATCTATTTGTGTTTCTCCCTTGTGATGGGACTTTGTAGGCTGAACGCTGAGATGTACACGGGGCACAGGGTGACCAATAAGGTCTGAATTGGTCTGTAATAAGGTAGGCACTGATAAGGGGTTGACAGGTGTGTGTGATCCACAGGATAAAAACATTCGAACAGTTTTGCTCAATTTTGGTCAGTGTTGCGCATTCATTCTTGGCAAGTGGCGATGATGATGAAGGGCCATCTCCACCGCACGTGGCAACGACGATGATGATGGGGCCACACATCCAGTGCACGTGGCAACGACGACGACGATGATGATGGGGCCACACACATCCAGCGCACGTGGCAACGACGACGATGATGATGATGGGGCCACACACATCCATCGCACGTGGCAACGACGACGATGATGTTGATGATGGGGCCACACACATCCAGCGCACGTGGCAACGACGACGATGATGATGATGTTGATGATGGGGTCACACACATCCAGCGCACGTGGCAACGACGACGATGATGATGGGGCCACACACATCCAGCGCACGTGGCAACGACGACGACGATGATGTTGATGATGGGGCCACACACATCCAGCGCACGTGGCAACGACGACGACGATGATGATGTTGATGATGGGGCCACACACATCCAGCGCACGTGCGCGCCTGAAGGGCAACGACGACGGGGCCACGGGACCCTCGCCCCGCGTTGTGGGCACGGTCCACTCGGCCAAGTGGGGTCCGCGACGCGTCCAGCCACGCGCGCATTCTTGTTAAACCCGCGGGTGCCGTTTTGTTACGCTCACCAAAAGTGTTTGAGAAGACAAATCGAGCAATTCCATGCGCGTGGTGATTAGTAGTAGTGGGTAGTGGTGGTGGTGGGGGAGGAGGAGATCGAAGCGGTAAGTTTAAGTAGAGTGGCGCCAGTTGACGATAAAGTTGACGAAAGTTCGCGGACGCCCCACCCCCCGTGCGCAGCCGATGGTACATTCGGTCCGCTCTATTTTAAGAGGTCCACCACCGCCACCACCACCGCCGCCCCCCACCTCAACCCTGCCCGGCCCCCTCCACCTCCTCACAGTTCACGCCACTCGCCTTCGAGGTGGCTGCTGCTACGACGAGCCCCCCCCCCCCCCCCCGTGTCAAACGCCACGGTAAATTATTAAAGGTTTTCGTCATAAGTGCCGAGGAACAAACCCTCACGCCCTCCTCAAAACCTCAACGTCTTCTCGTCCTCCTCCTCCGCGCTGCGACGAGGCACCAAACTTCACCATCATCTCTTTTGCCTTCCTCAACACCCGCGGAAATATTCGAAAAGGTGAGAGAGAGACACGACCCACGATTAACAAACACCACCACCACGGCGACAACACCAACACAAAAAACACCGACACGATGGAGTTCAAGAAGATGTTGAGACGCCGCTCAAAAAGTGGCGGAAGGGTGTTCAGGTAGGACGCTTTTACCTCTCTATATATCTTTACACTGCAACAAAACGCTTTGAAATAGGTGGCAACCATGCCTGTTTACATCACAAGCGGCTTCTCGGGGGGCGGTGGGGTTATAGACGTCCCCCCCTGTGTTATTTTACACTCAAATAGAGCTCTCGGTTTCAGTGCGACACGGTGTGGTGGTGGTGGTAGTGGGGGGTGTTTTGTAGATGGTGTTGTGGGACAGAGATGTGCGAAATTTGGTTACTACTCTGCGCTGCGCAAGTGTGGTCTTTTTGTAATGTTATTATTGTGTGGGGTTTGTCGTGTGGTGGGTGATATGTCGGCAGCGTGCTTAGGATGTGTTGGTGGGATTATGTGGCGGGGTTTTTATTTGGTAGTGCTGTGTTCATGTGGCGGGGTGTACTGCGGTAATGTGGTATGTAGTGTGTGGTAAGGTGTATTTTTGATTGCAGAATGGTGGTGGTGGTATATTGTGGTGGTATGTGGTATAGTGTGGTGGTATGTGGCGGCGTGTAGTTGTGTGTTTTGGTGGTACGTGATGAGCACGGTTGGTTACGTACGGTGCGAAAGAAGTTCAGCATACGTCCATTCGTAGTGTGTGACTTGCAGTATGCAGGGTGTACATTGGTAGTGGGTGTAGTGTGTGCATGTACCAGTATGGGTGTAGTGTGGTGGTACTTGTACTGTGTGGCTAGCAGTATGTAGAGTGTACTACTGTGGTGGTACGTGTAAGTACCGTGTGACTACTACCAGTGTGTATGGTGTACTATTGTGGTGGTGGTGGTACGTGTAACTACTACCAGTGTGTATGGTGTACTACTGTGGTGGTGGTACGTGTGACTACCACCAGTATGCATGGTGTACTACTGTGGTGGTACGTGTAGTACCGTGTGACTACCACCAGTGTATATGGTGTACTACTGTGGTGGTGGTACGTGTAACTACCACCAGTATGCATGGTGTACTACTGTGGTGGTGGTACGTGTAGTACCGTGTGACTACTACCCGTGTGTAGGGTGTACTACAGTGGTGGTGGTACCTGTAAGTACCGTGTGACTACCAGTGTGTAGGGTGTACTACTGTGGTGGTACGTGTAGTACCGTGTGACTACTAGCAGTGTGCATGGTGTACTACTGTGGTGGTGGTGACACGTGTTAGTACCGTGTGACTACCACCAGTATGCATGGTGTACTACTGTGGTGGTGGTGGTACGTGTAATTGCCACCAGTATGCATGGTGTACTACAGTGGTGGTGGTACGTGTAAGTACCGTGTGACTACCACCAGTATGCATGGTGTAGTACTGTGGTGGTACGTGTTAGTACCGTGTGACTACCACCAGTGTATATGGTGTACTACTGTGGTGGTGGTGGTGACACGTGTAAGTACCGTGTGACCTCCACCAGTATGCATGGTGTAGTACTGTGGTGGTGGTACGTGTTAGTACCGTGTGATTACCACCAGTATGCATGGTGTACTACTGTGGTGATGGTGGTGGTGACACGTGTAACTACCACCAGTGTGTATGGTTTACTACTGTGGTGGTGGTGACTTGTGTAACTACCACCAGTGTGTATGGTTTACTACTGTGGTGGTGGTGGTGACACGTGTAACTACCACCAGTGTGTATGGTTTACTACTGTGGTGGTACGTGTAAGTACCGCGTGACTACCACCAGTGTGCATGGTGTACTACTGTGGTGGTGGTGGTGACACGTGTAACTACCACCAGTGTGCATGGTGTAGTACTGTGGTGGTACGTGTTAGTACCGTGTAACTACCACCAGTGTGCATGGTGTACTACTGTGGTGGTGGTGGTACGTGTAACTACCACCAGTGTGCATGGTGTACTACTGTGGTGGTGGTGACACGTGTTAGTACCACCAGTGTGCATGGTGTACTACTGTGGTGATGGTGACACGTGTGACTGACACGTGTGACTACCACCAATGTGCATGGTGTACTACTGTGGTGATGGTGACACGTGTAACTACCACCAGGGTGCATGGTGTACTACTGTGGTGGAGGTACGTGTGACTACCACCAATGTGCATGGTGTACTACTGTGGTGATGGTGACACGTGTAACTACCACAAGGGTGCATGGTGTACTACTGGTGGTGGTGACACGTGTAACTACCACCAGTATGTATGGTGTACTACTGTGGTGGTGGTGACACGTGTAAGTACCGTGTAACTACCACCAGTGTGCATGGTGTACTACTGTGGTGGTGACACGTGTAAGTACCACCAGTGTGCATGGTGTACTACTGTGGTGGTGCTGGTGACACGTGTGTACTACTGTGGTGGTGGTGGTGACACGTGTAACTACCACCAGTGTGCATGGTGTACTACTGTGGTGGTGGTACGTGTAAGTACCACCAGTGTGCATGGTGTACTACTGTGGTGGTGATGGTGGTGGTGACACGTGTGTACTACTGTGGTGGTGCTGGTGGTGACACGTGTGTACTACTGTGGTGATGGTGGTGCTGGTGACACGTGTGTACTACTGTGGTGCTGGTGGTGGTGACACGTGTGTACTGTGGTGGTGGTGCTGGTGACACGTGTGTACTACTGTGGTGCTGGTTTGTGGTGACACGTGTGTACTACTGTGGTGGTGGTGACACGTGTGTACTACTGTGGTGGTGCCGGTGGTGACACGTGTGTACTACTGTGGTGGTGCTGGTGGTGACACGTGTATACTACTGTGGTGGTGATGGTGCTGGTGGTGACACGTGTGTACTACTGTGGTGGTGCTGGTGACACGTGTGTACTACTGTGGTGGTGATGGTGCTGGTGACACGTGTGTACTACTGTGGTGGTGCTGGTGACACGTGTGTACTACTGTGGTGGTGCTGGTGGTGACACGTGTGTACTACTGTGGTGGTGCTGGTGCTGGTGACACGTGTGTACTACTGTGGTGATGGTGCTGGTGGTGACACGTGTGTACTACTGTGGTGGTGCTGGTGACACGTGTGTACTACTGTGGTGGTGGTGCTGGTGGTGACACGTGTGTACTACTGTGGTGCTGGTGACACGTGTGTACTACTGTGGTGGTGCTGGTGACACGTGTGTACTACTGTGGTGGTGCTGGTGACACGTGTGTACTACTGTGGTGGTGCTGGTGACACGTGTGTACTACTGTGGTGCTGGTGCTGGTGACACGTGTGTACTACTGTGGTGCTGGTGACACGTGTGTACTACTGTGATGGTGCTGGTGACACGTGTGTACTACTGTGGTGCTGGTGGTGACACGTGTGTACTACTGTGGTGCTGGTGGTGACACGTGTGTACTACTGTGGTGGTGCTGGTGACACGTGTGTACTACTGTGGTGCTGGTGGTGCTGGTGACACGTGTACTACTGTGGTGCTGGTGACACGTGTGTACTACTGTGGTGGTGCTGGTGACACGTGTGTACTACTGTGGTGCTGGTGGTGCTGGTGGTGACACGTGTGTACTACTGTGGTGGTGCTGGTGACACGTGTGTACTACTGTGGTGCTGGTGGTGACACGTGTGTACTACTGTGGTGGTGCTGGTGACACGTGTGTACTACTGTGGTGGTGCTGGTGACACGTGTGTACTACTGTGGTGCTGGTGGTGACACGTGTGTACTACTGTGGTGCTGGTGGTGCTGGTGGTGACACGTGTGTACTACTGTGGTGCTGGTGACACGTGTGTACTACTGTGGTGCTGGTGCTGCTGGTGACACGTGTGTACTACTGTGGTGGTGGTGGTGCTGGTGACACGTGTGTACTACTGTGGTGATGGTGCTGCTGGTGACACGTGTGTACTACTGTGGTGGTGGTGCTGCTGGTGACACGTGGTATTTATAAATAAACACGCGGCAGGTGCCGCCTTCTCGCATCAGCGAAACGCCGCGCGTCACTCGGGGCCCCGGTTCTCTCAGGGCACCGCTTTTAGCGGTTCACGTTTTGAACTAAAGCACTTCATTCTTTTTTTAATTAAACAAAAGTGCGAAAGGAAATATAACACAATACACGCACTTGGCCGAAGCATCGAATTGTGTGATATCACGTTCGATTTAATTTAACGTCGAGCTATTCCGCCGAAGTTGACTTGCCCAGGGAAGTTAAGTTTTTGTTTTGCCTCGTAAGTACAAATTAATTAATCGCGATTAATTTGTAATGTTTAATAACAACTTCGTACTGTATAATATTTATGTATTACGTTTTTCGATGGCGATCGGGTTTTTAAAACGACGATGTTGTGTTTGTAATGTTAGATGGCCGTTGAGACTCGTGGGCCAAATTAAAATGAGGGGTTTTGAATTTTTTATCCTCAATTTTATCACCCATTTATCGCGTTAATTGAACACGAAGAGGGTTTAGCGAGAGCTATAAACAGCATTTAGTGAATATATTATCGGAATTCGCTGTTACTGAGGAACATTTATAAAGCGAAGAATTGGCTATACGTCTTGATGGAACTGCATTGGTCATCGTGAGCGATTTTTTTTTAAAAAAAAGATCATTCGTTGATATTGTTAAGCTTAAAAAGTATATATTTTTTAAAAAAATGTTTATTTGAGTTTTCAATAGATATCCGATGAGAGATTGTGATGTTTATAGGGTTGGTGGTTCGTGAGATGGTCGTAAGCGCCACGTGGGCCTCGGGAGATGGCGGTTGAGGTGTTTTTTTATTTCTCCGTAAGCGATTACATTTAAATGTTTTATAACTGCAAATTGTGCCCTTTTTGTGCAACATGATTTAGTATTGTGTGTGTGTATAGCCGAGTTCGCAACGAGTTAACTACGATGATTTTAGTTATTTTTGAAGGCCCTCACACGACGCTTAAGTCTCCGCTTTTAGAAATAAATATATAAATAACGACGCATTTAAAATGCGTATGTTCGATAAGCTTTTAAAAGCAATAACGATATATATTTATAAACAAGGGGTTTAACTAGTTCTCGACGCGCTATTGTGTAGTTTATTTTTGTGTTCACATCGAGTATCTCTTTTTTTTGCCATAATCAAAAGTTTGTTTAAAAAATATATAACAATAGGCGTTATAACAATAAAACGGGAGTTGTGTTAAAATTCTCAATAAAACCACTCGGGTGAGATAGCTTTTGCAAGGAAGCACATTACTACGTGTGTACCTGTGGTGAACGTGCAAAAAATTATTGATTTAAAAAAAGATTTATACTTTAGAATTGTATAATTTATAGAAGCGGGTTCGTCAAATTCCCGCGAAAACAACAAAAAGGCCTCTGGGTAAGGGGAGGGAGACGCCGCCACGGGGAACGACGGTGAACGACCAGGCCTTGGGCAGGAGAAGGACGATAATGACGGAATGAATGGCAAGCCAGATGAGAAGATAATTGCGACGATGTGGATCAGTGTTGTTGTTGTTTGACGGACGTGAGCGAGGTGATGTCGATGAGTGGGGCCGTGGTGGGAATTTGTTCATCTAGCAGTAGACGGAACATGGTTACTGTTTGTTACAGTACCATGGAGTGGTATTTTTTTTTGTAAACCAAAGCTTTTTGGACTGAACTTTAAATCCCTCCCCAAACCCCTCCTAAAGTTTTGTGTTGCAGAGAAAACGGAACTACTTGGATTTCAATATTTGATCTGTGTCAATGTTTAACCTCTGGACTAACTCAAGTTTTGAATCGAAGTACGTACTCTTTTTTTAATTATTATTATTAAATGCTCTACTTTTGAATGCCGACGTGAATTGTGTAATGGCGGGGGACTAGCGTTACGTGAAATAACGTCGACATCCCGTGTATGACGATGTTAAAGTGGAGTCTACGAGAGAGTGAGAGAGTAAATATGATTGTATATTCAAACGAATAGCTAGTCTAGACGGCTAAAGGTACGTGTTGTCTTATTCCATCTAAAGTGGCGTCAAACAGCGGCGTTGTGATTTGCCTATTCAGATATTTTTTTTAACTGGGAAATTTTACCTCACATTTATCGATTACAAGTACTCGCTTTTCAATGAACTCGTTCAGTCAACATTTGGTAAACGTGGCTGTTACTTTGAAATCTATTTTTTAAACTATCATTTTGATTCAACGTTAATTGTGTACTTAATGGAACCCCCCCCCCCCTCGTGGATGACAATTGTAGGCCTGCCAGAATACTTTTAGCAGTATTCAGAGTCACTCGCGTGAGTTAAAATTTGCCTTTGTATTGGCGCGTGTTGGCAAAACACGTCTGTCAGGTAGGCTGATTTTTGTTTTATTTTTTACCTACGTGACTTTACCGAATAGAACCATAGAGAATGCTGGTACAGTAATACCACGAACTTGGGCTCTCCTCCACTCTTACGTCGTTTCGCAAATACGTCGTCACTTCGGTTTAACACGTAGTAGGCTTTCGCGATCAATATCCATAATACAGGTATTTTTTTACGGCTATAATTAACTTGACTCCTGTGTCGTGGTCAAAGCTTGTAATCTACATTTCGTCCTCTTCCCGTTGTCCAATTAATCCCAAATTTTGCACGCGTACTCAGATCCGGTGACAATGCGTGTCTGTATAAAAACAAAAATCGGCATCAAATAATCAATTAATTGCCTCCTTTCGAGCAATTACACATTTTTCATGGGCGGCATATTAATTATATATTTTTGTGTAGGTGAAAAACGCCGCGGTCCCTAAACTGTGGAATCGGCTCGCACAAAAATCAGGCGCCACCTGTCTCTTGTAATCAAGATGTCGTCCACTTCCCTTTGTCAAATCGAGTTATTTACTTTTTAGCGCACTTTAAAATAAAATTGTTTAAAAAAAAGTTTTAAAGGAGTTTATTTAGGTTAGATCGCCTAAATGTAAATGTGTCGTTAAACCCGCCACCACCCGACACAGCCAATTAGCAAGGTTTTTCAGGTCAAACAGAACATGCCAATTCGTTACCCGTGTAATGACAGAGTGGCACCTGCTGGCCTGGAAGGGGAATCTCGGGTACGGTCGCTCATTGCACTAGTACAGCACACCGGCATGTTGAGAGAGTAAACCCACAACATGTACAATATTGAGTACGACATTTCGCCAGTCATCACTTTACTCTACCTCGACTCGTGTCGCCTTGACCGGCACCTACGTCACTGATAGCATCTGCACTTTACAGTATCCTTCGCCTCCACCTACCTACTTACCCCCCTGTATATTCGTTTTGATTTGCGTCGTTTCGATATGCGTCGTACCGTTCGTCGCGCCATACCTTTCCGGAACGCGCAAACCCGGGTCTGTGGCTGGTGGTGGTGGGGGGGGAGTATTTTACCGTACAAATAACAAGTCTCGTTCACAAAATGACTGACGGTGAAAGTGATGTAAATTGCGCATTAGTACCTGGTGTCTTGTGTGGGGGGAGCGGTAGTGCAGCGGTTAGTGCACCGCGCTGCGCTGCGAACCGGAGTTCGATTCCCGCTCAGGGCCGCCAACACCAGTGACGATTATCTGAACCGGTCCAGGGCCTCTCCGCTAGCTCGACTCAGCCTCAAATGAGTACCCGGCGCGGTGTATAAACATCGCCACTCGGGGAGACAAAGACGCTCGTGCGTGGTTGCTCCACCCACCAACCTCGTGTGCCGCACAGTGCCGGCCATCATCGGCGCTACTCGACTAACAGCACTTGCCCCCAAACAACAGTCTGTTACAGGCTACACGGGGGATCTTTGTGTATTCCTTTTTCCCGCGTGACCCCCATTTTTGTCATCGCCTTGTCGCCGCCAGGGTGCTGCTGCTGTCCGCACGTGCCACGATGAGCGACTCCATGGGTGGCGGCAGCAACGGTGATGGTAGTGGTGCATCGCCGCCACTTACGCTGGAGGCAGTGCCGTCGCTGATAAGCGGCGGCAACCCCACGCAGGCGCCACGTTACGGCACCGTTATCCCCAATCGCATCTTTGTTGGAGGCATCGACTTCAAGGTGTGGGGGGATTCGTGGGCACAACACGTTTCACTTGGTGGCGACGAGACGACAGTTTAATCGGCGTTTGAAATTTATAAGGGGCAGGGGGTGACCAATAAGGTCTACATTGGTCTGTACTAAGGTAGGCACTGATAAGGGGGTTGACAGGTATGTAATGTTGTTTATGAAAATCCTTATTCACAAAAATGTTACGATTTTCGCGACCAATGTACATAATAGAGGTTTGTAAAATCACCGTTTATAAATGCTTTCATTAATGTAATTGAATTGATGTTGACGTGTCATACGTAGGAGTGCAATGATTAATCGATTTATGTATTTTGCTCACAACGTGCATCAAATCGTGCATGTTATAAAATATTATGACATGCAGGTTCTACGCTAATTTTATCATTTATGCAAATGGAGCAAACGAGACGTGATTACAGAAGCGACTTAAAACATGCAAGACATCCAGTTTGAATGAAGAGCTAATTTAATGGCGGGCTCCAAATCATCACGTCATATATCAAGGGTCGTGCTAAGTTGAAATATGAAGGATTGCAGCTTTTGCAATAATTTTTTACATGTGTACTACAACAAAATGTTCGTGCCGGTGTAGGGTAGAACCAGCCATACTAACAATGAATGTCATGGGACATTGCATTTGTGCAGATGACCTCAAGGTGACGCCTCACATCACTTGGATTTTCACATTTAGTGTAATTCCAGAATGTTCTTATAAAATGTATTTTTTTTAAATGACAGCAGAAACGAGGCATCTTCAAGTTGTATAATGCATGTGGGTGACGGCGAACACGTTATTTTAAAAGAGCATGAAGATTGGTCATTGAAAGGTACACTTTAAAACAGTCGCAAGAACCTTGGGAAAAGTACATACATGCATTTGCTGGTGATTCAGAGTAAAAGTAATGCCTATATATTCCATTTGCTGTGCACGTTTATTTTCAGGTAAATGAAGCTGAACTTAAGAAGTATTTCACTCAGTTTGGTGTTGTTAAAGATGTCAAGATCATAAATGACAGGGCTGGAGTCTCCAAAGGGTGAGTCCTGATTATATTTAGCAAATTTACACCAAAACTCGTTCAAATGTTCATTGTTTTCATATTGCAACAGTCTGCAGATCTGTTAAAGTTGTGTTTTTAAAGATTAACATCACCTTTCATAGGTTACAACATTAATATTTAAAATATTTACATTATGATGAATAATATATTTTGGATGCCTGTGTGATGCAGAAGTCTATGGTTATTATTTAATAAATTTGATGATAACATCGGCACATTAACAAACACCTAAATTCTACTTTTTTTAATTTTGCAGTTATGGATTTGTCACATTTGAGTCACAAGAGGATGCACAGAAGATACAGCAAGAGGTAAATTAGTACAAATAAATTGCTTCAGGCATTCCAGTGTGTTAATTTCACAACGTACTGCTCTTAAGTTATGCTTTACGTGATACCATGAAAGAATGTTTGGACCTGGTTCGAGAACAGGTTTGCCTTGTGTGCAAATCATTTAAAGGCAAGGAGAGATGTCATTTGTAATGTTGGCTCAAGTCACAAGACCTAAATAGCTGGGTCTGCTGTGCAAGTCAGTTTGGCGCAGTCACATTTTACAGAGTTCCATTTCAAAAGCGTTTTAATATTAAAATGAAATTGCATGGTTTTTACATCTTTCCTGAAAACAAATCGGGAGTGTAACCATTTTTATTTTACCCTTTTTGTGCCATACATGGGATAATTCACGGTTGTTGAAACATTTTTTTATACATTATATTCATTTTATTTGACATAATTTGAGGTCATTTGTCTATCCATTGTTGGATAAAGAATGTATCAATTCTGTTATATCACGAGAAGTTGTACATAATGTTTTAAAGCTGTGGTGCAACATGTACATTACATAGTTTTACATCTTGGCTTCTGTATGCTGTGTATACATTCACCACTATCAAACAACTCAATAATGATTTAAAGCTTTCGTGACTGCAGGGATTCATATTCTTGGTTCTTTCGGTAAAGTCACGTAGAAGGGAAACAATAAAATAATACAAATATTAAACAATATTGTGATTAGTATATTTTATATTTTTATTATTTTATTGTTTCCCTTCTACGTGACTTTACCAAAAGAACCAAGAATATAACTCAATAATGACTTGTGTGAGCTGAACTGATTATTGTATTACGAGCCTTTTGCCCGTCCAAGGATTGGTGTACTACAGTAAATCTGAAACTTGCAAGCGAAAAGCAGACCGCGACGTGAAAATCATTGCATCCATGCGTGTGCAATTTGTAAGGGCGCGGTGACACAGACCTATTTCATTTTAAGGTTATAATCCCTTGTTCATCATGACGTCCTTTTTACTTTGATGTCTCAACAGCGTTACGGAGATCGCGTGACGTGAGGGTTCTGCCTTTGTAGTGAGGGTTGTAAGTTGACGCCGAGGAGGGGGGAGGAGGCACCTCGGCCCCCCCATATGGAGTGACGTCAGCCGCTAATTATTATGAATGGGGGGGAGGGGGGGTCCATTTGGAGGTCATCACTTTATAATGATTATTAATGAGGGGGGCTGTTCGATTTGGAGTGACGTCACCTGCTCATAATTAGTAATGAGGGGGGAGTATTCTTTGGTTCTTTCGGTAAAGTCACGTAAGAACCAAAGAATACTGTTCATGATTTTAATTAGGGGGACTGGTCGACGTGGAGTGACGTCACGAGCGTTTCACACAGACAATCTTGGCTCATAGTAGGTAATAATAATGGGGGGGTGTCTATTTGGAGGATGTCACCTGCTCATGATTATTAATGAGGGGGCTGTTCGATGTGGAGTGACGTCACTTGCACATGATTATTAGTGAGGGGGGAAGAGTACTCCACATTGAGTGACGTCACCCGCTCATTATTATTGAGGAGGGGTGGGGGGTGTCCATTGGGAGGACATCACCTGCTCATGAATCTTAATGAGGGGGGCTGGTCGATGTGGCGTGACGTCACGAGCATTAAGGACAGACATCCCTGGGTCATAGGTATTTCAGTCAAATGTAATTGTAATGGATGATTTGTTAACATGGGTTTTGTGGCTTTTGCCTAGGCTGAAAAAATTATGTATAAGGACAAAAAGCTCAACATTGGCCCAGCCATTCGAAAACAGCAAGTCGGCTTCCCACGTAAGTAATACTCATAGGTGTTCTGAGTAATGTAGGCTATTTCCGCTTAGCAACCAATCTAGTCAAATTTGTGTTTACTAAACCAAGCATTTCAACAGTATTCATCTCATTGACTGCAAATAATGTTGTTGGGCACTACTTTCTAACCTCGCAAACAAGTGGTGTTACTTAAGAGTCATGCATATGTCTACGCATTTGGATATTGGATCAGGCACTTGTCTGTGTGTGGTTGTATGTGTGTATTCCTCTGTGTTCTCACAGAGTTTCCTCTAACTCCAGCATCAGGGAGTATGGTCCTCACAACCTCAACAGGGCAGCCTTTCCTCTTTCACAATGGCGTGGCTTATTTCCAACAACCTGATGCTATGCCAGTCCAAATGCCTGTGAGTGAATCTCATTTGTGTACAAACACAGCAGTTTGCATTATTTCATGTTGTGCAATCACAGGTGACTGATGTTTGGTAATTTAAAGAGAAGCTGTAATTATACACTCATGGGTGTGTTATTGGAAATGTAAATTGCACAGTAAGCCTTATCTCAAACATGGTTATTGCTTTGTGTGTGAAAAGATTCAACAGCCCCAGACATACTATAGTCATCAACCTATGCTCATACCATCACCCCAAGCATCACCCGTGTTTCAACAGCCTGCCTACTCTTATCAGGTATGAACAGTCGTGCAGCACACAGAGACTCGACTCCTAAAAATCATGATCAAAATAAATATCACATCTCTGCATTGTTTATGAATTTTTTTACATTTTATACAAAAGATAAATTCAAGTTTTTGGCAGATATAAATAAATACAAATTATCGAAAAAATAAAAGAATATTTCAAGTCCCCCCAAGACTATTCAGTAACCCCTACACACTTTGCCTCCCAAATGTTTGGTGGGAAACACATACACCATGCAGAGACTACACACACATAATACACTGCATACGATTATAACTTTGTTCCATTAATTAAGATTAACTTGTTCTAGATAAAAGGTTTACATGGCGACTCATTAACATCAAATGTCTTCTCTGGATAGCATAACATACATGGGAATTCTGTGCGAACAGAATGACTCGGAGATTAGTAAATATTTTTTTTTTACAATGAAGATAAACTTAATGGTTTATTTTCATTTGTTTTCAGCATTGCATATGGGACTGCATATACATCAGAGCATAATTTTTGAACTGTATACCCATGTACTGTAACATTGCACTCCACCATTGTACAGTGCAATGAATACAGCCACATCGTTTATATTGAGTTATAGCTAACCAAGCTCATGATACTTATCAACATTTTCCAGTTTCTTACACATTACGCTTAAGCTGGCTGCAAGCACACAGTACTTTGCATAACGTTTTTCAACAACTGCTTGACAACTCGCGTGGTTACACTGATTCTTACCACTGTCGACAGGAGTTTGGCTGAAGTCAAGGTTATTATTGTAACCAGAAAGTTGGCTGGCTTGCTGGCCAGTGATATTTTTAATTTATGGCACTACTGCGCTGGAGACAGCATGTAGCAAGTAAAAATAACTACTGTATTTGTTGCCCTGCTCATCAAGAGTTTAGACGTTTACTTTGTTTAATAATGAAGTATAATAAGTTACAGCCCTTTGTCAATCCACTGCTAGAAGCACACCTCCCCATGCCATGTTAGTTGTTGGGATTGTTTTGAGCACACTACACTAGTGAATGTGAATTGGTGAAGGGGGTGGTGGGTTAATCAGGTCAGGTTCATATAGGGTGGTATAACATGGCCTAGCGGTAGTGCCTTTTTCGCGAGTTGTAGATGTTCACGGTTCAAATCAAATGGTGACCCTGATATATTACTATGGGTGTAACAAACGTAATATGCGCCGTGTGCTTCACAGTGGATGTTAAAGATACCCTGACGTAATTTGCAAGAGTAGTAGGTCATTGTGTGCCGGTGTCGGCAGTACAAATTTGCCGAGTTTGAAAATGACTCACAAACTACCAATTAGGATTATACAGAGCAATCTTCGCCCCCTACTGGCAGACTACTGGCCAAGGTCCTGGTTTCTTGAGTTCTTACCTGGGTAAAGAAATGTATCTTGCAACTTGGAATATCACGACTGTGGCCAGAAATCAAACTCGGACCACCGGGTACTTAACGCAGTCAGTGCAAGTGAAATGTACACTTTTCAACCTTGCACATTTTTTCAATGCCATTTTAAGTATTCTACTAGTGATAGATAGCAATAATCTTTAAAGAGATGTTTTGCAGTTGGTTTATTTGGACGGTTATAATCAAAATATATCTTCGTCATTTAATACATGGTGGCTGTGTGTTTTGACTTTAAAGCAGGCTCCCCCTTCTCAGTGGCAAACTGGCCAGTGGCTCTGGAGTCCGCCTCAAGTGAGTCACAGAACTTACACTTACCTTGACATTACTATAGCATGCTACAAAATAAAGATTACCAAAAGCTTTCACGAACAATTCCGCACAGCTTTAATATGGCTGTTATTTTTAGTTGTGCAGGAGAAAACAATCCTTTCTGTGTTTTAACAATTTAACTTACCATATTTCTTCTGAATAAAAGCCAGTTTAGAACACCTTTAGTAGTAAATATTGTGGCATATTCACAGACCATTGTTTAGAAAATGTTCTGAAGTCAAGCTTGTAAAAAGTTATTTCATGAAATTTTGAATACATCTACTTTAAAGTTGGTGGAATATGATTGTACATGTGTAATAAACAAGCATTAAGTGTTGACTCTTTTACTCCTGATTGGAGGTGTACTGTTTGCACTAGTGCAATGTGAATTAACATGTATGGCATATTGTCTGTTTTACATTTGCAGTGCAGAAATGTTTTTTCAATTATTTCTCCTCTAATATTTGCATAACATTGCATTATATTTAAAATCATTACATTGCATCTAAATGTTGCCCATAAAAAGAAATACATTCTCTTACGGTTTGTACAATTGTTCATGAGCATGCCATGAGTAAGACTTGTTACTTGCTGTTGCGCAACACGATTGTGTGTCTCTTACAAGGCTCCACCATCGCCAGTGATGTACATGCAGCCCCAAGAGATGATGTACCATCAGTCCTTGAACATCCCCACTGATGGAGGCAGTTCCCCTGCCGGCCCTATAATCACAGATGTTTCAATCTCAGAGGTAAAGCGAAGGCAAATACTGCCCTCCCAGCTAGCATCTGATGCATAGCTTTCAGAGCAACAGTCACAAGTACAGTTCATCATATCAAAAGTGATCATTGTATTTGGGCTTCAATATTTGCTCCCACCCAATCCTGTAATTAAGCATTAGAAAATGCACTTGTGTCTTCTATTTTAAAGGTTGGGGGTGCATTTTCTAAATAAACCGGTGTGTGGCATTTGTTTAAATGTATTGACATTAGTCACAAGTGTTTTAGGGCTGTTTATTTTTTTCCTTTTAGAGAGTGCAGATTGTAAAATGTTGCAATTATTATCGTAGGCTTGAAATGTTCCAATTTTTTACAGATGCATATTGATTCATAATTTGAAAGTATGGCACTGATGTTTGTGGATGAGTAAGGTTCTCATTTTGCCATTTACACTCTGTGGTATGCACAGCGTTACACAGATCATACGATGCAGGCTGCTTACCACCAGACACACTTGCACCCGCCCAACAACATGCAAGTGGCCATGGTGGCCCAAGACCACATGAAGGTTAGTTTTTTAATCAGTTTTTAACTTGTCTGCTACATACTACATATTATTATTGTTAATGGTACACAATTAACACGTTTAGTTTCTTAACCTACACATTGTTCCTTTTTGTTACACTGCAGGATACCAAGATGTATCACATGAGACGGGTCTACGGTACATCCCAGCAGGGCGCTGTCAAATCGCGAATGTGGCGCAATGCCACCGGCTTCCGCCACCGACGAGATTTACGAATGGAACAAGGAATCCTCACCCCCCCGCCGACGCCAACGGAAGGTGGCCAGTGAGCGCACGCACTGTGCTGCACGCTGTGGCCACACTTGATCGACTCGAGACACGCAGCACAATGAAAAATATTTGATTTTGTGTGAGCCTTTGCGGTAGGATGTTTTGCCTGCGTGTGCCATTGCAGCTACAAGGTCATGGCCAATTTTACTTGGGCGAATTGTTTACATGGAGGAGGTCAATGTGGTCTTGCTGCATACTTTTATGTGGAACGTATAGGATTATAATTTGCTGTAGTGTTCGAGGGAAGCGGCATAGTGTAAAATCCTTTTATATTTCATTCTGTTGAAGCAAACCCACATTCACCTAATTATTGTTAAGTTTGTCGAAAGCGTAGAAACCTTACATTCAGATTTAAGAGAAAACAATCTTATTTAACACTGAACAAGAATTTTAAGTCTTTAGAGCTGTTGTGCAAAAAGCACACCTTTCAGGTGTTAGGACTTCGTGAAAGATGAAGCCAAAATTGTGTTCATAATTTGACACAAGTTATTGCCTCGATGTGCACTTTTATAAATAGTGCCTTCACTGAAGAATGTTTGCTTTTATGTCTAGACTTATGTTTGCCTTCAAACATAAGTCTTGATTACATTTCAGTATATTTTATACATGCATTGTGTGCAATGCTGTACACAAGTCTTAAAGTGTGATATAGTTAGTTTTTGCAGCTACTGTACTTGGAAGTCGCATTGTCCTATCTTTAAACAAAACTTCACATTGGGAAGGTTTCAAAGTTTACTACACTTGCATAAAGTATGTTTACTTGAAGTATGTAAGAGTATTTCATAGACTTTCATGGTGAGATTTCAGTTTTGATTTGGTCGAGTGCTTCATTTTTAACATAACCCCATTTTTACAATATGTAACCACTGCTGTAATGCTTAGCGTTCATTATAAACCAATAATGCTACATTCCAAAATGTTTTTAATGGCAGAGAAATACGAGGGGATAGACACTTAATTAAAAAAACAAAGTCCCTTGGTAATTTTGCTCTAAAACAAGCTAATCTATGGGCAAAATATAAAAATGTATCACACTAATAGTTTATCATGCATATTATTTCAGAATTCTACATCCACATTCACGAAATTAACATGTCAATTTTTTTATATGAAAAATACATCTTTACAAACGTAATACTGATTGACAATCTACAGTTAGGCTTTTTTTAGGTGTTATCTCAACGTTTTAACAGCGCTGTTATTGTCGAGTACATTTTTGCGTAATTAACCAAAGCTAGGTTTTATACAAATGAAAATGTGGCCAAATCTTTTTGGGTCTTCCCTCCAACTCAGCACATTAATTGAAGTGCTGGCCTTTAATGACATGTGGCCCAAAAAAAACTCTCAACCTGCGATGCTTTCTCCTACTGGGAGTAAGCAGCACTCACTTCATTGAAAATCCTGACCAAATCAAAGCAATCTTGCCTCTATACCCCATCTCTCGAGATTTCCTGAAAGATTTGATATGTGATATATAGCAATATAAGTATGATGGAACTCTTATGTTTACAACATGTTTTGATAAGCTCAGAGCTTAATGTAAAATGTAACAATGTGAAAAAAAATATTAAAACTAAAAGTTTAAAAAAATGTTTGCGTTGCTGGAGACTAGGTTAATCAATTTAACATTTAATTGTAGCTTAGTAGAAACCACTTGGATTAGTTAAGGCACTTGTTTTGCAAATGTAAGTCACTGTTTCCCAGCTTACAAATAAAAGTTACAGGTTTTGAAGGTGCTTTTGCATTGTTTACATCTTGTTTACATCATGCTTGGCCATATATTTGCAGATTCCAACCATGTATTTTACAATAATTATGTAATGCAAGGTATAAATGTTATTGAAGGCCATAAACTGTCATACTAGGAGTCACTACCAATTGACAATTCTACATTCCTCGGCCACCAAAGTTATTTTATCAAACCTGGAGTCAAGCGATGCGTAACAGTGCCACCCTGCTGAATGATTTCAATTAAGGTTACACTGGATCGGTTTTTTACACTATCCAATGATATTTTTCCAGTTGTCAATCGGTCTCGTCCACAAGGTGTCGCTATTTCCCCTGTAAAAAATTACCATCCGGAAATGTATTGCTTCTCCAACAGTTACAAATTCTAACACCATTGTGCGCGAGATCTCTAGTGGCAGGGAGGTTGTGCAATGCCTAATGCTGCTCATTTAGGCAGTCATATGATAGAATAACAAATGTTCTACTTGGTTGCAATGAGGTATCCAGTCCAGTCTCAGGTTGCTGGTAAAGTACCAATTTAATGTAGATCCCCACCTCATAATGTGCATTCCCGAGACAAACCAGCATCTTCATCAGTATATGTGCATACATAAACTGAAATGTACGTGCACATGTACAGCCGTTTTATCAAGCCTGCTGGACAAGGGCCTCCCCATGGTGTGCCAGCCATATAATTCACCACGCTTTGTCAGTGCCGCTTGGTGAAGTCAGGCAGAAAGTACGACAATGTATTTTGCTGCACTGCTGTTTGCTGCCAATCATGTAGCTGATATAGATTTATATCCTGTTTGTGCATGGTGATGACCGTTTCAAAATCAACGAGTTTGGGCACATTCCGGATCATTTGGTGAAAGCCAAGGGTATATGGTGTAGTCTATGGTGTAAAAGTAGAAAACAGCATGATGCTGCAATGTGGTGGAATTTACTAAATGTACATGTATGGTGAACTTCTTTTGCACTGTACGTAGCCAACCGTGATAATCGGTGTGGGACTAACTCATCACAAAAAGTTGTTTTCACCACAGATGCAGTATAGTTTATTTCCACAAGTACAGAGTTTATACATAACTCTGCATAACCATACCGAATATTTAAAGTTCCCTTCAATTGCTGAACAATGACCTGCACAAAAACTGCACAGCCTTGGAAGTGATGCGGTATACAGTTTACACATTTCCACTTTCTCATGAAGTCATGTCCACCCAATTTGTGGATAAATAAAATAAAGCCAGGTAAAAATATGTTCAGCTTGCAAGTTGGTCCAAAACATGGCTTTGATATTACCCAAGTGCTGACTGGTTTTTATTTGAACATTGCAATGTAAAGGCATGTTCTATAAATACATAACAAAACTAAAAAGGCACTTTTAACATACAAATTTCGATTCGCCTGTCTTTGCACTACTCGGCTGTCGACTGCTTGAGGTAGGCGATGAGGTCTTTCCTCTCGCCCTCCTTCTTGATGCCGGCGAAGATCATCTTGGTGCCGGGGATATACTTCTTTGGGTTCTCCAGGTAAAGGAAGAGCGTGTCCTCATTCCACACGATTCCTGGAACAAGAAGAGAGTATACTTTAAATTTCAGTAATGCCATATTTTCAACAGCCATGATCAATCCACTGTTAGATGAAGACATTTCCAAGCTATTGCCATCTCTCAGGACCATGCAATGCAATAAAGCCCACCTACACACGGGCTGATGTCATCGTTCCATCAACTTGTTGGACGACCTCTTGGGCACATCGATTAGAAAACATGCAAGTTAAAGACATCGTGACTTCGAATAATTGCGCTTGAGGACAAGTCGCTAAAAGGGATGATGTTGAATCGCCAAATGGAAACACTTAACGGTCACGTCATGGCATAAGGTCCATTTTATGTGGTGTGTCAATTCATTACAGTCAAACCAGTGGCATCAATGTGGGATAGGGCTACACAAGTGTTGTCAGCATTTTGAGTAAATGGACTTGTATGTGTAGCCTAGTGTGTAGGTAAAGGAAAGGAATGCAATAAAGCATGGGACGATATGTTTTTATAGATGCCAACACACCTTGCTAATACTCCACGTTATTACATATATATATACAAAGCATTAAAAATATATTAAAGCAGGGATGGGGAACGTTTTCCTTACAAAGGGCCGAATAGAACTTTTAAATACCTTTAGCAGGCCACACATTAAACACACACCTTAGTGTTATGCAATAATAACTGAAAATTAATTAGGGACCGGGTTGGGTAATCAAATGGACTAAAAATGTAAACTGTTGACAAGTCAAAAAATTCTCAATACCAAATTCGTGCATCCCAGATGCTTGCAGAGACAGACATCCTCATTTGGCCTTTCCAAAGTGCTAGGCCTTGTGTGGCCGTGGGATGTATCAAACGAAGTTCCGGGCCACCTCTGGCCCATGGGTTCTTCAGATCAGTTTTCAGATAGTGTCCTACTTTTACGTTTCATTTAAGGAGTATTTTGCAAAGTACATGTTTATTTTAAAACAGGCTACCACCCCCTGAAGCCTTACCCTTGTCCCTGTTGGCGTCCGTGTATGAGAAGCCTGGGGCCTGGCCGGTCTGGCGTCCAAAAATCCCTGAGAGGTTGGGGCCAGTCTTGTGCTTGCCGCCCTTCTCCACAGAGTGGCACTGGCTGCACTTTTGCACGAACACCTTCTTGCCCTTCTCCACGTCACCCATTGCCTTTTGACCCTGGAGTGTGAGAAGAGACACGTTAACATCAAACCTTGTTTATTACTTGATATCGAAGCAAGTATAACAACGAGATCCCAAGCACCAACGTAACTGAGCGCAATTGAACAGAGCACTGTGCGAACAGCATGCATAAAACTAGAATCACAAAAAGAATCAAAGATAACCAATATAAATGAATAAGCTGCAGTGTATAGTTAACTAACATCAATTATTGTATAGTGAACAAAACACTCTAAATTTGTCCTTAACACTGCCTTAAGAGAAAATATATAGTCGATGGCCCTTCATAGCACAGAAATGTGTCGCCTTATATATTTTTTTCATTTTACGGCAGTGCTATTGATGAATGTTGAGTTTTTAGTTTATTGTGCTTGTGCACAACTGTCAATGCAGCATTACCAAATAATGTTTATTGTACTCTTGGGTTTTATTCGGTAAAGTTACGTAGGCAAAAAATAAAATAAAATAAATAAATTCAATCATGATTTAATTCAGTATTTTTATTTTACGTGACTTTACCGAATAAAACCAAAGAGTATGGATTCTTACAGTCACGAAAACTTCAAATCGAGAATTAATGTTTATTGTACATTGACACCATGTTTAAGATATACCAAGTACATTACACGGACAATACACGTAGCATGTGCATCAGAGGTGGGAAACCATAGCGACTCTTGCGTGTAACTACAATTTAGTGTTTGTTATAAATACTGAGAAATGATTATGCTTTTACGGAAGCATATTTATATATCATCAGTTAGACTCTTGGTTAAATAATCTTTTCACGTAATAAGATGTAAAATTTAAGAGACACATTTACCCAAATGACCTTTCAAGCAAGCAACTGCTCTTAAAGAACTGGATACAACCAGGAAGTGGCCAGTACAAAACACACTCACAACCTGCTATAGCTAGTTCAGGGCCTGCTCTTTACAGCACTGAGGCTCCGATTGTAAACCATAGGTCATGATGAATACAGTATACAGTACTGTGGTAGACTCGGGATGTACAATTCGGGGACGGGATTCAAGAATCGCTTGTTTTACATTGTGGTGATGTATGTTGAAACTTCGTTCGCACCGTATGTAGCCAACCGTGCTAACCGCACGGGCGGGGGAAGGACAACAAACTAAAAACAAAAAGTAGAAAGAAATTAGTTTATCTAGATTTAAAAGTGCATGGCTACAGTAGCGTCATAATATCGGGAGATATAAGCGAAACCATTTATATTCTTACACATCGGATGTGATGTCTGCATCTTACTCATCTGTATTACTTGATGAATGCACGCATCATTACACCCCCAGCAGTACACCATAAAACCCACAACTATTTAATATATGCCAATCACACATTAAGGTAATTGGCAAATTGTCAAATAGTTATTCTGTGGCTATCATCCATAATAGAGATTTATCATTTGGCTATCATTTATCAGCCCCAGCAACTGCTGGTTTTACCAACCAATGTCTGGCTAATCTTGACAGATGATCCGGGGGTAGTACGTCATAATGAAAAATTTAACTTTATCAAAATGCGCACTACTGCCAGGGAATATATTTTAGTACCACACTGCACTCATACGTCTGTTATCGATCGTGCTTTGATTAATAACGTGAATTTATGTTGAACACGTAGCCAACGTGCTAATCGGAGATACGGGGGAAGGACAACAAACTAAGCACAAAAAGCAGCTCTAAAGAAATGAGTTTTCAATCTCCAAATGTAGCACAAAGCTCAACTGAACACGTGTACGTACGGTGCTGGTGTTGGCTTACTAAATCAGTCTCGAAGCTCAAATGAGCAGTGGGACGGTACTTACTGCAGGGTACAGTGTGTCCACACTATAGTAATTTTCGATTTAAAGCTTTCGTGACTGCAAGGATTCATCTTCTTTGGTTCTTTCCGTAAAGTCACGTAGAATGAGAATAAAATAATAAATTGATAAAATAAAATAACAATAAAATTCTCACGACGTTTCGGCCACAACACAAGCGGCCTTCATCAGGTGAAGGGACGAGACTGTCTGTCAGACGAGACGAGACTGTCTGTCAGACGAGACGAGACGAGACTGTCTGTCACCTGATGAAGGCCGCTTGTGTTGTGGCCGAAACGTCGTGAGAATTTTATTGTGTTATTTTATTTTATCAATTTATTATTTTATTCTCATTCTACGTGACTTTACCGAAAGAACCAAAGAAGAAAAAAAACACCTATAGTAGTATACGCTGCACAATACAGTATTACACTTTTATTCATATACCCGAAATTAGTTCTTATGCCGACGATAAACGATACACTACAATCGTCACACTCCCGTTCAATACTGTTAAAGACAGCTGGACGAAGCTTAAAGTTCAGTGTTGTAATTGTACTATACTTTAAATATAACTGGACTTGATATATGAATGTGTAATTTCCAACATTGATTAAGGGGCTATTCAGGGAGATAAGTGCCACCCCAATCCGTACTTCCGCAGGGAGACACGGGCTTTGTAATACGTAAAATGACAAAGGTGTAGGTTTTGGATCTCCTCCACTACATATAAAACTTACGGTCCACCCAGTAGTGGCAATTCGCTGCATGGTGCCTTTCACATTGTGGTTCACCTTCCACCAGATATAACTCGCCACTGATGTTAGCCGGGCATCTACCTTGGGTATCCGGGTTCAAAGCACGACACCGCAGCTCCACTCCAATACGCGACAATGACGCCCAAGGTCAAGATCTTGAAGCTTAGACTCTGTCCCCTGATCAACTTCAGCGCAATCTAAAACTAAACAATTTCTGTTATTTTACTAGATAAGGCCCATTGAGCTATACAGCTCTTTTTTTGGAAGAGGCCTGGCCACAAAAGATAACCCAATGAAGTGGCTTATCACGTGGAAATGTTTCACAGCCAAATACTCTAAACGCGTGTGGAGGAAAAAAAAACAGAGGACCCGGAGGAAAAAAATGACGCGACCACGGGGAGAGAGACACGCAGACTCCAAATATACAGGCGTCATGGTTCGGGATTGAAACCTCCACGTTCCGCAGATTGTGGGAGAGGTGCCCCCATACAGCAGTGGATTGATTCAGGGGTGTCTAAAGCTATCGAGGGGCCCACAGCATTAGCATACAAGTGCCCTACCCCATCTGCATATGTGAGTAGAGTGAGCGGGTATGTTCCCACCACATCTCACCCACGCGAATTGGGCACGCCTGACGTTCTGCACGTACACCAAGACACCCAGCCCACACGAGCTCTTCATCACTGCGAACGCGCAAGTTTCCCACACTAACCATATCACCATGGAATTTATCGCTGAAGTACAAGGGTTGATGCATTTATAGACTTCCCACCGACGTCTGATGACTCCCCCTATCCTCTCACCAGCCAATTGAATAATGGCGTTGAAGCGATGGCTCCGTATATCACGGAGGAATTCATAGGAAGATGTCTCGGGCATTGACGTTCGTGGAGGACGACTCCTCTACTTACGAACATTCAATTGACGAACTTTCAGAGATACCAACATATCTGTCCGAATGTCCAGTTGCATGTTACGACCGAAAGTCGTTCAGTTCAAAATCCACATCTGCAGAACATGAAGAACCAGTGGCATCTACAGGAGATTTTGCAACTTTTAAAGCCAATCCCCGTGTTCAGTGTACATGTTCGGAATCGACAGACCTCTGGAACCCAACTCGTTCGTAAGTAGAGGAGTCCCTGTACAATGTTTCCTCTATTATGTACCAGTTTACATGCCAACGTTGGTTCAACGTTGGCGTGTGGTTGAAACCATTGGTCCAACATTGGACCAACGTTTACTTAGTTATTCCTATCATTACAGTGGGGTACTCCATCTACAAATGGATCACCCCACATATCCGTTGAGTATTTTTGTATTACTATCGTCACGTTGCTTACCCAACCTCCGAGTTAAAAGACTTCGGTGAAAGTAAGACAAGCCCCAAACGTATTACCGGTGTAAATACAATTATACAAATGCCCTTTCTCCCACACACACCAACCGGATTGTAAGACGCATCAACAAGACCATCCGGGGAATAGTGCGTCTTATAATCCGGAGCACACGGGGAATATCAGATCGTCCAGACCAGGGGTGAGCAACTAAAAAAACAACAGCCCCCCTTTTTTGTCGAATTCGGTAAAAGAAACAACTCAATATTTAGTACGCCGCAAAGCCGGTGTGGTTCCTCAATACACACACACACAAAAACACCACACACACCAGGAAGGAGGGCCCCTTAAAGAGCCGTAGGCTGCCAAACCCCTTGGTCTTAAACTCGTTCAAGAGTCTGCCAAAGACGCCGAGTACTCACCGTGAATGCCCGGCAAGGTGCGTTATCCCGGACGAGTTATCACCAGGCGAGAGACCACACGAAAGGTCACCTCTGAAGGGTTACCTCTGTCTGGTGCGACCTCTTCTTATAAGCCCTCTGGCCTCGCACGCGGACTGAACCAACTCGGCGGCGCGGAACGTCGAGAACTCCACCGACATTTACAACAAAACAAAACAACAAAAAACTCCCCCTCCGTAGCCTCACATCGATTACGGGAGTTGACCTGGGGCTATTTTACTCCGCGGCGCGTGTTGTTATGGCCTGTAATCGATCTGAAGTGTTTAAGCACATCGTCGTTACCATCACTGCCTACGCCTACCCCCCCCCCCCGAAGAGCGTGGCGCACGTGGACTCTCCCATGGTGATTTCCCCGTTTGCCTTGTACGGTCATTTTGACCGCGTCGCCCGAACCTGTTCGGCGTGAACGATGTGGAGAATTCTCGTGCACACGTGGCTTGGCGAACCCTAGAACCCCATCGATGGGGTTCTAGGGTTCGTCACAAACCCCCTAAAACACCAAGACCACCCACCCACTATGGCCTGTCACACATAGTTATCGTTAGCGAGTAACCTATTAAAGCCCGGGGTGATTTGGACAGCGCCACGCACCTTGTGCCGATGTGTTGGTAAACCGCGCCAGGTGCTCTCATTTAAGGTTGAGTTGATCGAGAGCAGACTCAAATCAGGATCGCTTCATACATTCGCTCGATGTTGGACGTTAGCCCGGTAATTTAACTCGGTGGCCTTGATAGTAGCGCAGTGTTTGCTAACCCACGGGCGTTAAAGAACCGATCCGTTCTGTGTGAATACAATTTACACACACACGTGCTGAATAGAGTACTAAAATTTTGATTTAAAGCTTTCGTGACTGCAGGGATTCATATTCTTGGTTCTTCTACGTGACTTTACCGAAAGAACCAAGAATATAAAGTACTGTTGAGTCATCCAATTATCACACACACACGCGTGTGCGTTAAGGAATCGATTTGAACGTGCAAACAGATTGCAATATCCATCGGAGAGGGTTGAGTTTGTGTGTGTGTGCGCGCTGCGCTACGAAATCCGGCGACTCGAGATTGAATCTCGCTCACGGCCGTGTGACACCAGCGACGATTATCTGAACCGGTCCTGGGCATCCCCTAGGCCGACTCAGCCTCAAATGAGTACCCGGTGCGGTGTGTAAAACTGGGGAGACAAAGGCGGCCGGGCGTGGTGTTGGCCACCCACCCACTCGTGTGCCGTGCCGGCCTTCGTAGGTGCTTGCTAACAGCACTTGCCCCCTACAGTCTGTTAAGACTACACGGGGGGGGGGGGGGGGGATCTTTGTGTGTGTGCGCCAGCGAGCGCGAATGTGAGTTGTAAGAGTGACGCTGCAGTTTGCACCACGTGCAGCACGCGAACACGTGCAGCACGTGGCAGCGCCGCGCTGTGGAGGTGACGTCGGGAACGCGGCTTCGTCGCTCGTGATCCACGCCGGCAAAACGCGCAGGCTGTCGTCGGCTGACGCTGTCACAAACAGCCACAGGCCAGCCAATTTCATCGTAGAGGGAATCACGCGGCTCGGTCAGTAACACGAGACCGCGGTGTGCGGGGGGTGGTCCGGAACGTGCTGATGAAACACTGGGGCAATTGAGCGACGGCAGGATTTACGCATATTCTTGGATTTTTGTTTTCCACTTCTACGTAATTTTTTTAAAACAAAATATTCGTATTGAGCATCATCCGAAGCCATTAACCTATCAGTTGGCTGGATGACGATCTCCCCAAGTGGTGATCACCATCTCTCAAAGGTCTTGCGATTCTAACAATCCAGACAGATGCTGCACAACAGCAAACTTCCATCTGTTCTCTCTCCTTTGGCTGTTGTTGTAACTTTCTGACCGGCCCCTAAACAGCTTCATAGCTCCTCTTCTTTGGTTCTTTCGGTAAAGTCACGTAGAATGAGAATAAAATAATAAATTGATAAAATAAAATAACACAATAATATTCTCACGACGTTATTCTCATTCTACGTGACTTTACCGAAAGAACCAAAGAAGATGAATCATTGCAGTCACGAAAGCTTTAAATCGAAAAGCTTCATAGCTCATTGGATTTCTCCAGGATAAAAACTAAATCCGATTCTGTCAGTCTTGACCACTGCCATGACATCTCTTCAAGTAACGTGTCCTGCCCAAATCGACTCACTTTTCTGAACGATCCATGTTATTATCTGATTCTCATCTCCTTTTTTTTAGGATCTGCGAAATGTGATGGGATCTGAGTGTAGGTGTTCATCTCCCTACACCTCTATGGGTTCTCACCTGGCTATAAATAATGTATCCATTTATAACCATAAATAATAATAAAATTCCATTTATTTTTAAGCCAAGCCTCTGTCAATCTGGATCCTTGTTCACCTTTTCACATCCAAATCATGACATAGAATCAACGAGCAATTATTTACCCGTGACACATCACGGGGAGAGGAAGAAGACCCGAGGGATATACGGAACGGAACAAAAAGGAAAAGGGAACGGGAAAGCGAAGTGGTAAGAGTGGGAGTTAAGAGGCAAATTATGGGAAAAGTAACAGAAAAACGGAAGTAAAAGATCAGGAAAGACGAGGCTAGAGAGGGAGATGTGACATTGAGGGCTTCTACGCTTCACGAGGCAGCGTCTAAATTTTGATTTAAAGCTTTCGTGACTGCAGTGATTCATATTCTTGGTTCTTTCTGTAAAGTCACGTTGAAGGGAAACAATAAAATAAAATATATAAAACAATAAAATTCTCACGTTTCGACTGCAACACAAGCAGTCATCATCATGAGGCTATCCACATATACAAACACAGAGACAATTTCAACCGAGAAGATGGATTCTGGCTTAGCAATCATTGGAAGGATTTGATAAACCATTTCGGGTCTTAATTGATTGTTCACGCTTACGGTGGCTTTCAGACAGCATACATTAATTTTTCGTCTCCCCCCTCCTCTTTTCCGAACATAGATGGACTCGTTCATCTAAACAAACTGTCAAATCGCTCTCCGTGGTGCTAACGTTTAAAAATAAATAAATACAAACCGCCACTTCTTTCAAATGTTCTTGCCGTTGATTTTCACACCTGATGATGACTGCTTGTGTTGCAGTTGAAACGTCGTGATAATTTTATTGTTATATATATTTTATTGTTTCCCTTCAACGTGACTTTACCGAAAGAACCAAGAATATGAGGCAGCGTCTGTTTTCGGAGGGGGCTGGGGATGTGATCACGTGGAAGTCACGTGATTTATGGGAGGCTTGAGCTGATTTGGATATCGAGTACTCGAGACTTTTGTGCAGGGAGTGTGAGCCATTGAGATCACGTTCCTGGTCACCGCGAGTCACTGATTTACCTCTGATTTGATCGGTGTGCTCGACGAATTTTCACATTTATTAAATTCACTTGATGACAAATAACAACACAGTTCAAGCATTTAATATCTGTCTGGCTTTCAATCAAAGACGGCAACTATGAGCAAGGCAATAATACAGTCATACATGTTCTTTTTTTACTTAGCATAAAACAACTAAGCACTAATTATACAAAATGCAGATTCCTTCCTGCAAATTACAAAGTGTCACAATCACAGCACCAAATGAAAATTGCAAATGCAATTTTAATATTATCCCCTCTTGTTAGTGCATTGCCATCGCATTAAAGGAACAGTAGTGCATTAAAGGAACGCTAAAAAATGCATGTGGGAGGAATACACCTCATGGCTTTCACACTTCTCACATTGTACCTCGTGGTAGATGTGTTCCTTTATTTTTTTGAGTCTCACCATCGTACAATGAGGTACAACTGAGCATGCCATTGCCCCAGTTTCTCCTACAGCCCAGGCTGCAGACGAAGATATTGTTGTACTGTACTCTCCGTGGCGCAATCAACTGAGGATGCAATTCGGCAGTGCCCTCAGTTTACAATTGACAGTATCCATTGGTTTTTAGAAGTGTGACTTCTGTGGTGCCATCTCAAGATATTTATTGTCTACGCGAGGTGCACCGGATCATCTCACTTTAACCTACTTTGGAGGTGTTTGGCACGTGGGAAACTGAAAAGAGCAGGAAACATGAATTGACTGAAAATGAAATGTAAGAGTGGATTTCTGTGCAGTCATTGTGACCAAGTTGAAAAGTGCTACACCTAAAGACACGCTTAAATCACCGGTGACTGCCCAGACTTGAAATCATGAACTCTGACAGTGTATTAGCAACCCACACAAACCACCAGCGAATGTGTCTGGTCTAAGCAACAGACATCGCAAGGCGACCCTGCAACCGCTAACGTCTATACCAGTGTCACAATTGTAGAGGTGACAATCACTCGGCAATGGGTCAGGGCTCCCTCCCAATGGGTATACCACTGGAGCTCACTGCACCTACAGCACTACCGCAAACCGTGTCCGTACTCCCACTGCTCACGCTCACAGGGGTGGAGTTGTTAGCCCACAGACCCCGACCACTACACGTCCTTCGTCAGTACCACCAAAGGCGATTTTCAGGTCTTTTATTATGGATGGTAATTGGATGTAACAGAAAGCATGGACGTGATGGAGTTTGAGGGGGGAAGCGGTGTGACATCAAGCAGTGGACCAAGCTCAGCATCGGGAACATCAAGAGTGGACGTGCTGGGATACGTTGACCGGTGACCTCTGAACGTACGTATGTTGAACTTATTTTGCACCATACATAGCCAACCGTGCTAATCGGAGGTGCGGGAAATATAAAGAGCATTGAAACCAGTATCACACATTTGCATTCGTTCGCCATGTAGCAAAAGGTTTTCCCCATCCGCGGCACCGTTGTCTGCGGTGGTCGGCGGTCCGTCAGTTGTGGTAGTAGTACGAGTGGAAGCCGTGGAAGTGGTGCTGTCGACCCGACCGCACGTGGTCGCGCAGGTCCACGGGGTCGCTCCCCGACGCGGCGTGCAGCCGCCTCAGGGCGTCCGACCTGGAGAAGGAGTCCTGCAGCCGGGACAGGGCGCTCTGTGGCCTTGCCCGGTGGTGCCCCGGCACCGGCCTGGCGCCGTCAAGGGCCGAGTGCGGCCGTGGGAAGCCCCACTCGGACCCTACCCCGCTCCACGGAGCGTTCTCGTCGTTTTTGTGGATTTGGGAGGCGAGACCAAGATTCTCGTGCGCGTTCGGCGCCTCGCCATCGGTGACGTGCGGCGAACGGAAACCAACCAGGCCGTCTTGACAAGCGGCGATTTCGGGCTCCGCCGCGTTGGCTGCTGTGGTCGACCGAGGCATTGCCCTTTCTACTCCCTGCCTGGTCGGCGGTTGGATCGTGGTGGACGCGTTGGCGTCGGCCAGGTGCCGGCAATATGGGGGCACTTTGCCGCATTCGGCACCCGAGCTGTATCTGACATCACCACCGAGACCGTGAGCCGCCGACGCCGCCGCCACCACCTCCTCGTCCTCCCCGGGGTCGTACGCCGTGCCATCACCGGCGGCGGCGTCGGCACCGCTCTCCCCGGCGCACTCCGCCGCCGGCGGATCCGCAAAGTGGAGGTGGGCGGCGAGGCGCCGGGAGTCCTCGACCGATTCCTCCTCCGCCGTGGCACTCCCTCCGCCGGCCTCGAGGGACGCGCACTCCGCCACGAAGCGATCTCGGAGCCAGCCGCTCGCGACGAAGCGAGGCGTGCGCCCGTGCTCGGGCCGAGCAAGAGAGAATTTGGGAAGCGACCTCTCTACCTGCGAAGCGAGGGCGACGCGGTGGTCATCGGCAACCTTCTCGATTATTAGCGCGGTTGGCTGCGTACGGTGCGAAATAGGTTCAACGTTTTTTACGTGACTGCATGCCACACGTAGGCTGCTGCGGAGGCTGACGCCTTCGGCAGAGGGCCGTGGAGCGAAAACATCCATTGCATTTTACTGTGCTCCTAACGTCTATTTTGCCTTCATCCAGCAGTGGATTGACAAAAGGGATGTACTATGCAGTACAAGCCCAATTAAATATATTTGTTAACGAATAAAATTACATAGACTCCAAACTACATATATATTGTCTGTGCTTTGTAACAACTGTGTTGCTAAGAAGCAACACAACTGCGTTGCTAAAAAGCACAGATCAATACAGAATCAGAATATTTATTTATACTGGAGGAATACGATGAGCTATAAAGCTCTTTTTCACAGGTATCCAAAATGTTACAACAACAAACAAGAATATGTAAACAAATCACTTTAAGAAATACATATAAAAATGTACTATTTGTTATCTTACCAGGTAAAGCCCACTGAGCTATTAACTTATTTTTCAGAAGTGACCTGACCACAGATAATAGCTCATCGCCATCCTCGTTGAAGGACACTACACAAAGTGTTGGCCAAGTACAGTCATGCTGTTTGTTTGCAGGGCAGTGTTAATGGTGAAGGTGGTGTTTGCTCACGTGGCCTATTGAAAAATATATTGTGCATAGATTGTCAGAGAACTCTAGATATGGCACAAAAACAGCGTAGGGTATACTCGTTTAAGCTTTCATGTCCATTGATGTCGAGCCCACTTTAGTCGAGGACCTTCAACCAGCCGTGGCGTGAGTGAGAAATTGCAGGGCTGTCCCTCTAAACCATCAAGAAAACTCCGGTCACCCTCGCACCTGCAACAGCTTTTGGCTAAATTTCGATTTAAAGCTTTCGTGACTGCGAGGATTCATCTTCTTTGGTTCTTTCGGTAAAGTCACGTAGAATGAGAATAAAATAATAAAATGACACAATAAAATTCTCACGACGTTTCGGCCACAATGCAAGCGGCCGTCTTCAGGTGAAAGAGTTTGAAGCTCTGTCGTCCCGACAGGTCTGTACCTTTCACCTGAAGACGGCCGCTTGCGTTGTGGCCGAAACGTCGTGAGAATTTTATTGTGTCAGCTTTTGGCTAGCTATCGAACGAAGACGACCACTGCATCCGCGCACTTTCAGATGCATTTCTGGGGCCGTCTGGAACGCTCTTCCTTCCGATATTCGGAAGCCACTGGGAGCTATGCACTTTTAAATCTAAATTGAAAACTAATTTCTTTAGAACTGCTTTCGTGTTTAGTTTGTTGTCCTTCCCCCGCACCTCCGATTAATTATCACGGTTTGTCTACATACAGTGCGAAATAATTTCTACATACGTACATACATTAGCACCTTTAACATTTGAAGCATGCCACAAATCTTAATTAAAAATTTGAATGGCTCACACAATCATATGGATCTATTCTATTCAAGCCACGCTCAAGCCCATCCCGTGCCAATGACCATAGCGTACGCTTGGGGGTCGCTGTCTTCAATCACAGTACCAGTTTGTTGCTTGGTGCTTTTCCACTTCTCAAGCTCCACAGCAGCTTCAGGTGGTGATCATCCAAGAGAATGGGATTCATTGGTCCGTGACCTATGAACAATAACAATGCGTGCACCGTACTGACTGCATATGGTGCAGATGACATATGGTGATTTATACGATGGGGTAACAAATAAGGAAGTATTTTCGGACTCGGCAGGTTTTTTTGTTTACAAACAATTGCCACCAGTTGCTAACAATGCCTTCACGGTGAGGCCAAAAAATAATTATCAAGCAAGAGGCAACCTCCATCTCCTCTCCCAGACAACGGCTGCTTGCAAAGTTAATTGGCAATGGGCATCAACGTTTTACATCCGAAAATCCACGCCTTTAAGGAAATGTTGCAGGTGTGTATGTTAATTGTCTCCACAATGACCCAATGCTTTGCAACTCAGGTTGAGAGTGTTTAAGCATTAGCTCTGCTGTCCGTGTTGTAACGGGGGGAGGGGGGGGGGCACCATACCCCTGTTAACCATGGCCCAAAATGAACGAAACTTCATGCTGAAGTAGCGTTGCTCTTAAGGAATAACCCTGAAGAAAGGCAGATAAATGAATCAACGTGCTGCCCGAAAACCTGAAGACGAAAGAACAAAAGCAAAAAGGACTGTGTATGCAAATATGCAATCGCCTTTTGCCGGCTCAGCTGCCCCCTCCACACGAATGAAATGCTTCCGAAGACAACGCGCTCGCAGGAAAGCGTGTCACAAGCCACACGTGTGCGCATTACTTATTCTCACTCGCTTCTTAACGCTTCGGTGTTGTCTCCCCTCAGCCGGTGCGATTGCGGTGCGATTGCGGTGGGATTGCGGCGCCCGCACCGGTGAAGTTGAGTGTGTAGTTGGAGCGCCAGCGGCAGCGCTCCACGTTCCGTGCCTCGGTGGCCGTGCGGGGGCCCGGAGCCGTCTCCCGTGGTCGTGGGTTGGGTGCGACGGTCTTTGGCGGCGTCGGGTAGAACACCTCCTTTGGGAAGCCCGGGCCTGTGGGCATCTACACCAACCAGACCACAACAACAACGACGGCAGCCATCGCCGATCGCTACTAAGTGACAGCATGGATATCAACATCAACCGGGTCGGTAACATTTTCAATAATTCTGCTCCCGGCACACCACGTGCAGAATACCTCTCGCTACGGCTGTGGCTACTCGTCACGTGCCACCTGCTCCAAAATGAAACCGTGAGCGAGGGTCATGTCGCCACAGTGTCCGTGCCAGGCTAGGTGAATTTTGTGGCAGTTTTAAACTCCATAATAGAGGTTTTTTTGGGTTAGATCACGTAAATATATAAATGTGTCGTTAAAACCCGCCACCACCCGACACAGCCAGCTAGTAAGGGTTGTCACGTAAACAGAACATGCCAATTCGTCACTAGTACAGCACACCGGTGTGTTGGAGAGCCAAGCCACAACATTTACAATCTGAGTATGACGTTTCCCCAATAATTTAACAAGCTTCATCAGCTACAACTAGCTTCGTCGCCTGATGAAGCTAGTTGTAATACTGGTAGGAACCTCCTGGTTACACCAGCCCACAGGGGATTATTGTGTCCGTCCGTCCGTCGTGCATCCAAAAATGGGAGGGGTGGAGCTGGGTGGAGAGGGGAGGGTGTGGAGGGGCTGGGTCGGGAGGGAGGGGCTGGGTGGGGAGGGGAGGGTGGGGAGAGGCTGGGTGGGGAGGGTGGGAGGGGTGGGGCTGGGTGGGGTGGAGCAGGGTGGGGAGGGGCTGGTCACCCCGTGGTGCCCTTATAAAACTCAACGTTTAACCTACTCACGCCGGCTTGTGCCCGCCCTCACAGTTGGGCATATTTGCGGAATACACCAGACCGCCGTTGACCCTGGCCATTGACCGAGCAACCCAACGTTCCTACCAGCTCCCTCCACAGGAATGTGTTTACTGGCAAAGCGCCGTACTCATTTTGTAAATGTTGTGGCTGGCTCTCCAACACATCTCTATTATGGATGATATTGGTCGCGAAAGCCTACGTGTTCAACAGTTTTCAACTGTTGGAAGGAAGTGTTGAAGGCTTGCTGGCAGGGAGTCATGGGATAGACCCAGGTGTTATTAGTCTGTAAGCCAGAACATAAATTGGTACCACTTGAAGTAAAAAAGCCTTAAGTACAGTAGTACCAATTTATTTAAATAGAAAATAACAATAATTTGATAACTCAATTCGAATGGTTGTCACATAATTCACCGTTATTGGCCACTTTAGAGAAATTGGAACCACGAAATTTATGCCACCTCACGTGTTAGCAACAAGAGAAAATATCTGGCCTGGACTGATGGGATTATATGGGTTAGCTGACTGAGACAACTGGCAGATGCACCCACCACCTGTGCTACAGAGCACAGGCGGTGGACAAAGACCCCCCATATAGCCTGACCAGACTGTTGAGGCAAGTGCTGTTAGCGCATAGCACCTATGCAGGCCGGCACGGCACACGAGGGGGTGGGTGGCCAACACCATGCACGGCCGCCGTTGTCTCTCCAGCGGCGATGTTTGCACACCACACCAGGTACTCATTTGAGACTGAGTCGACCTAGGAGAGGCCCGTAACCGGTTCAGATAATCAGGCTGCGGACACACACACTCACCCAGCAGCGCGACACACCAACCACTCGTATTGCGCTCTGGGACACGCGATGCAACGGCACGGGGGCCACGGGCTGCGCTTGCACCCTCGCCAGGCACACGCGGTGCTCCGTGATGCCTTTTCGGATTGCACCGCGCACTAACATCTCACCACGGTGGCGAGATGTTAACTACCTCGCCGGGTACACAGGAAGTCGTGGGTTCGATCCCGACCAAGGCGCTTGTATATTTGGAGCTTTCATGTTCTCCCGGTGGTCGTGTGGATTTTTCTCCAGCTCCTACCGTATTTGGCTGCTATAATTTTCCACGTGATAAGCCACTGTGTTGAGCTATCATTTGTGACCAGGTCGCATCTGAAAAAGAGTTGTCTAGCGCAGTGGGCCTTACCTGGTAAAATATAAAAGTGTTTAGTTTAGTTTCATCGCCAGACGTTCTGCTCCACTTGCTTCAGCTCGTGAAGAAACTACCAGCATTGTGTAGGCTGAACTATGTTGCGGTACAACCCTAAACAGGAACTCCGAAGCCATACAACACAATTGCAAAAAAAACCCGACCTTGTAGGCGCACCTCTGATTAGCAAGGTTGGCTACATATGGTGCAAAAGAAGTTCAACATACATACATTTCAAGGTATTTGTTCATGACATGTTCTGCACGTATAGACGTTAAAATGGCACTGGCGAGCTCATAAATGTATTAATATATTGTTACGATTGTGTTTTATATTTTAAATAAAGTGATCGTACATATCCGTTTCATAAACAGCGTGTAGCTCGCCAGGCTTCGCGTCAATTCAAGACGAAACAAATTACCTTTCCAATCAGGTGGCTCATTTACAATGAAAATATATGCGTGATAGTTATTGAGAGGAAGAGGCAGTTACCATAAATTATAATGTTCTGTTGGTCAAATACAATAAAAAATCACATTCGGACCTGAAATAGTAATCGAAACGACCACTGCAACTAACCGTAATCAATTTCAATTTTGCCTAATATGAAGCTTAAATCAATGACTAAACACCGTGTAAATGAAGTACGCAAGCCAATGCCACATATTATTATTGGTAAACTGGGTTCCATGGCTGAGCCTGCATAGAAATTATATACATATATATACTTCAGTGATTGAATGAATGGCCAAACCACTTGGAATGCGCCCAATCCCATCCGATCTGAGAAGCTAAGCAGGGACAGAACCCTACGCAGCGTCACTTAAAATCTGCTTCGGACACCAAGGTCTCAAACTGCTACAGCCTCACATCGGTTCTCTTCTGTCGCCTCCTCGGTGTGGAACTTTTGTCCCTTTGCACATCCGCAACATCAAATGCACTCTGACTTTCAGGAAGCATCTGTTTGGTCAGGGCTTTCGGGCAGCCCTGAGCTTGGATTCCGTGCATCCGAGTTGTTGACTTGTCTGCAAAATTTGCCGAGTTATAAATGTCGTCATTATTATCATCAAGCCTGGATAACGCCTGCATGGTTGATCAGCAGGCACAAGCACGTGTACAGTCGTAGGCGGTGTGTGCGGCACGAGGTCAGTGCAGAAATCTCCACTGCACACCCCCCTCCACCCACACCTTCACCTACCCGCACTGACCGGTATGGTGAAGTATGGACACATAAATCTGCACGGCAAGGGGAGGCCCTCATCCGGCGGTGGATTCACAAGTGGGCTGTACATGCATGAATGCCATAGGCAATGATGACAACTCGCACCGCCGATTAGCATAGTTGGCTACGTACGGTGCGAAAGAAGTTCAACATACGTACAACTCTGGGAGGAGTTTCTGACCTCCGGCCCTCGTGGCTCTCAGGGCCCGGCTCTATGTAATCTCCTGGTCGTCTCCTGGATGGCCTTACCTGGTAGAAACCGTGGTCTCCTGGCCACTGGCTGCACCGCTCCACGGGCTCCGCCATTACGACCTCGTATCGGTAGGGACCCCCTGCAGAGACAGGCCGATATGCCAGGTTAGCCATCGCGCTAAGCGTCACCGGATTGCGCAGGGAACCAGTTAGGGCAACGCTGACCATTGTGGCGAGTCGGCCGAAACGTGGGGGGGGACTTTACTCCCTTGTGCCACGGTGGCGAGATGTTAACTACTTTGCCTGATATGCAGGAGGTCGTGGGTTCGATCCAAATCCTGACACCTGTATTATTGAAGTGGATTTCTGTCCGGGGCCTCCGGTTTTTTCCTCCACATTTAGATACATGCGCTTAGAGTATTTGGCTGCTACTGTATAAATGTCCACACGCGAAGCCACTTTGTTGAGCTATTATCTGTGGCCAGGTCGCTTCTGAAACAAGAGCTAACTAGCTCAATGGGTCTTACCTGTTAAAATAAAAATTGTTTAGTTCAGAAAGCGTTCTCTCCTTTGACCTTGATAAGTCTAATTATACGCGTGAGTGGCTCTACGAAAGAATTAACCGCACGAGTTGAACCGACTTAGCGGGGTAGTCTATTTTGACAACCACATAGTTATACACGAAGCTTGTGATTTCACGATCCCGAGGCACAAGCGTCACTGCGGTGGTCACCTTTGGTTTTGGAGAGGACCGTGATGGGTCTTGGCAGAGCCGCGCGCTTCCCGGCCCCTGCGTGGCTGCCCTCCTCGGGCTCGGGAGCGTCTGACGAGGGTAGCAGGGCCAGGCGTGAGACGTGCGAGGCGAAGGGGTGCTCCCGCGGGAAGGGGCAGCGCGCCTGGTGCTGCCTTCACGCGAGACGCGGAGACACGGCGAGAGACACGGGGGAGACGTGGTGAGAGACACAGGCACGTCGTGAGAGACGCGGAGACACGGCAAGAGACACGGAGACGTGGCGAAACCCACGGGGAGAAGTGGTGAGAGACACAGACACGTGGTGAGAGACGCGGAGACACGGCGAGAGACACGGGGAGACGTGGCGAGAGACACAGACACGTGGTGAGAGACACGGAGACACGGCGAGAGACACGGGGACGCGGCGAGACCCACGGGGAGAAGTGGTGAGAGACACAGACACGTGGTGAGAGACACGGGGAGACGTGGGGAGACACAAGGAAAGACGTGGTGAGACATGGTGAGACACACGGACACGTGGTGAGGCATACAGGCACGTGGTGAGACATACGGAGACACGGTAAGGGGCACTGTTGCGTGGTGAGACACACGGTGAGACATGGTGAGACACACGGACATGTGGTGGGACATACGGAGACATGGTGAGACACGGAGACCCGGTGAGTCATAGAGACGTGGTGAGCCACACGGTGAAATGGTGAGGCACAGAGACACTGAGACATGGTGATACCACCGTCACAAGTCCTGTGCAACCCAACTTACCTGCCTGTCTCTATTATAAATACATCAATATAATAGTTGACTACCATTTGCCTATCCACGGGGAGATGATGGCCTCCCCACACTGTGTCAGTCATGGGGGTTACGTGACCACACCCCAACACGGTGGTGAGTGTGGGTTGGTGAAGGGGGAGGGCATGCAGATGGCAACATATAAGTACGGTACAACGGTAAATGTTGCCGCACTACTCTCTGCTGCCCATAATATAGCACGGTCCCACAACCGCCTACGGAGAACTGACACGCGCATGTTCGTCATCCATCCAATAATACCCAGGCTCAACCCTGCTTATCTTGCGAGAACTGACGCATTCCGGACGATTTGGCCATAGGCGCTGCGGTTTACAGCGAGTGTCAAATGACAGTACACGGGACAGGAAGGGTGGGCCTGTGTTGTTTATGAAGATGAGGCCACCAATTAGTTGGCACCTTTAAAATTCTTACGGTCTCTGAGGACACTTTACAGTTCACATTTACACTTAAATGAGACCCATGTCATCTCCTGCCATGAGCCACCGTCAGGCGATTGGTTCTGTATCAACAGCGCCAACCCAAGCCCACTCGTCATCATCTCCTGTATCTTTAGGATTCCCCGTTTGTGTAAAAACGAATTGGAATTTACAGCGCTTTGTCAGTCTACTGCTGAGTGAATGCCTCCCCACGCTGCGTCAGACCAGGGCCGGATTCAGGCAGGGGGCTTTAGGGGCTGCAGCCCAGGGGGCCTCCACCAGCTGGAGGGCCTCCAGAGATGAAGTGAAAAGTTATTTCAGTTGTGAATGCTGAATTTTATTTGTTGTTAGCCTCGTAAAAAAAATTTTTTAGTTTTACTTTAACTTTTTTTCCTTTTGAAAATATTACTGGGGGCCTCACAGTCACCTGTAGCCCAGGGGGCCTACACAATCTCAATCCGGCCCTGCGTCAGACGTGGGGATTGTCTGGTCATACTTCTCCACGCTGGTCAGTGGGGATTGGTGAAGGGGGGGGGGAGGAAGAGGGTGAGACTGGGTCATAAATCACTCGACATTGATAGCCGTGGCCGGGGAATCGAACGCAGATCTGTCGGGTTCATAGCGCAGTGTACTAACTACTGCACCACCGCTTTACCACGGTTTTTTTTCGCAACCTCAATAATCCGCGATGACAACATCAATGTGTTTCTTTCCTTTCAGTTAGAGAAACAAAAAACCCTTTTAATATAAAGTTCAAAGAATAGGTTCCCTAAAGCAGTAACAATGCACTCGTCTCTATGGACACTCGCAGCCAAAAAGTGTGTGTGTGTGTATGGGCAACGTGTACAAGCTTGTACTTGTACAAGAATGAGCGAATATTGACACATGCGTGAGTGTCTGTGAAATTCACGAAACCATCGCACTGGTTTGTCGACTTTGGTTTTTAGGAATGAAAATGTTTTTTTTTACGAACGCGTGAGCTTAACCAACTGCAAAGATTACAAACAAATCCCCGAGCGCCACAAGTGTCCCCATGTCGTTTTCAGTGTACGCGTACTTACAGGACACATTTGACTTTTTCACATCGTGAAGGCATCTCAGTTGATATAACAAAAATTTGCATCGTAAAAACCTACTCAACAACGCCCGCGCTAATTGAGTAAATCCTACAGGAATTACTCTCATGCAAGTTGTAAGCGCTGTAGTTTATATGTAGATAGACGATAGATTTGATTCATTTCAGCAGGAAGGGCCCAATGAGCCGTCAGGCTCTTGTTCCACGAGCGTCCTTGCGATGGTGTATATGTCATGACATGGCACGGATGTTAGTTATCCATGCACGGTCACATAGGTCACGATACAAAAACAGCAAGTATCGGTGCATGCGTCACGTGTTACAGGATTAGGGTACTGGTTGAAAATGTAAAAAAAAAACTAAAATATGTTAATAAATGCGTGATTTGTGAAGGAAAAATAAGATTCGTTACTCACTGGATGAGCGATTCCTGTGGCTTGGGAAGCCTGAAACGACAGAGACACCGCATTCCAAACTGCTGCTGTCAAGGCCGCAAGGATATTCGTGACAAACGGGAATTGAGGTAGATATGAAACAGTGCCACAATAATATGGCACAATAATCTCAATCAAGCCCGTTGACTTTATAACCCGGTAATAACCCAATTGCGACTGAAGGTCTCTTTGTAATCTGAGACCTGGGTTAGAAGACAAGAACTGCACCACAAAGCATAACTCAAAGTACAAAAAACAGAATATGATGAACATAACGATCTAGACAGATATAAATTGAAAAAAATAAAGGCATTGGAAGTGTATCTCGTCTAATTTGTGAATATTTGTATAGTGTTTAGGACTATACAATGATCACCAGGTCTTCGTGTGTACTGCATTACCGTGCGTACAGTATTTGAAATGCTTTGCAAGATTGTACGCATATACACCGGGTTTATTGAAAGTGATTGTACAATTGTTTATTATGCTAAAACGTTTAATTCTGTCCTGTAGAACGAAACATTTAGTCAAAGCATTTGTTGAACCGGGAGAGAACTCAAGAGACCATGCCAGTCTCATTCGCAAGAGTCACCAAAAACGAGATGAGAAAAAAAGTACGGACAATTAAGCGAACAGAAAACAGCCCAAAACACAACTGTGTCACACGAGAAACAGATAAAATTGCACGAACGTAAATCTAAAATGACTTTGGTCGCTCACACAAACCTGTTGAATGCAGGGTATGGCATCTCAATGCCCACGGGAAAGGAGTTTCACAACATCCCTGCGATCCACCAACCACAGGGCTGGATTACAGGCATGTGGAGAGCCACCACTGCCTGCCAAATGCTCTCAATTTGTTGCATATCCTTCCTCCAGCAGTTGACAGACAATGTCTGACGATGATGATGGTGATAGTAGATTGCAAATTCAAACAGCTTGGCTATAGAGCATGCGGCAAAGCCAGTGCAAGGGCTGTGCGCGCCTTTGCCTGTCCCCTCTGGGTGTGTCCAATGCATGTGTGCTACATGTCGTGTCACGTATGACCACAGGCGTGCGGAACACGTGTAAGCGGCGGGCACTCACAGCTGGTCGTTGGAGCGGAGATTGCTCCTCTTGAGCCGAGTCAAATCGTAGCACTGCTCGATGCGAATCCCACTGCCCTTCGCAAGAGAGTACACAATGTACACACCAACCCAGCGCACGTTACATTACATTGAGGGACAATGCCAGGAACGCGTGGATTAGAGAAACGTACATTTCCCAAGATAGAGACTACATATGGACGCTCATAGAAGTAATCGAGTTGAGCAGAACTCGTTTCTGGAAGGGATGATGGCTGAATCCCAGGTTGTGTCTACCGTGGAGATGAAATTAAATCCGCTCGTGTGCGTGTGCTGTTTCGACTGTTTCATCGCAAGACCTCGAGAGATGGCGACAGCTCGGGAAAGGCCTTCATCCAGCAGTGGATCGATCATCGCTGATAAAAATGCAGTGACATATTTATAACGTATATCCACGTGCAAGCACCTGCCCAATCACATTGATGTAGTGTCAATTAAGCCAGAAACACAGTCAAATTAAACTAGTTGCCCTGCCGTGGAGTCCCGAAAAATATATATTTGAGCATTTGTGTTGCTTGAAATCAACCAACTTCATAGATAGCAAGAAACGTCTCTGCTCCCCCTAGCGGTGGTTCTGTGAAGTCCATCGTCTGAACGCCTTCTCAACGTTTGATTTAAAGCTTTCGTGACTGCAGGGATTCATATTCTTGGTTCTTTCGGTAAAGTCACGTAGAAGGGAAACAATATTATTATATTATTATTGTTTCCCTTCTATTATTATATTATTGTTTCCCTTCTACGTGACTTTACCGAAAGAACCAACAATATGAGTCTTCTCAACTGTTTCGGTTATTCAACATAAACAAGCTCCTTTCTGCTAAATCCAGTGGCGCACCTGCAGCCCTATCTATGTTGGAGGTGGCAAATTGGTTTTCGCTAAAGCACAAGTCACTCCAGTTGAATTAACATTTTTTTGCTATTTATGAAAATATTTCACATGGGAAACCCCTTGAGATGAATAATCCCGATTTGTAAGGGCATCCAGGGCGTGTCACTACGCAATCGCGTAGTGGCACGTAAACACAATTTGTATCTAAAATGACACATTGCGGTGTATTGATTCTTTGCACGAAGACGAATTGGCTCGCACAGAGGCCCATGTGCTCACACTGAGACCCACAAAGAGACCTACGGGCTCGCACAGAGAACCATGGAGTCGCACAGAGACCCACATTGAGATCGATGGGCTCACACAGAGACTAATCGAGCTCATTGTATACAATTTCACGTGAAAAATGTCATGGTCTGACATGCAACGTCTGTCTATTAAAATCACGTGAGGGCGGGGGGGGGGTGCAACTGCTCATTTTGCCACCCACCCCGCTGCGTTGCCCCTCTTATCCCAAGCGACCCCCGCACCTTGGCACGGGGTCACCTCCGAAGCCGTAGTGCAAATGTCCCCTGGCCGCGGTGGTCCCAGACTCGCGGCCACACGGAGGCCTCTCCGGGCTGGGGGTTGGAGGGACACGGGCCCTGGCCGCTTCGTACCTGAGTGGGGGGGGGGGCACACGGCGGAAGGAGGCAGGGAGCGGTGAAGCCTTCTGCAAAAAAAAAAACATCCTGCCTCCATTCACCATCTAAAGCAGGGGGTCAGCAACCAAAATAAAAAGAAGAGCCTCGATATTTCGAGAGCCCGCGCTGCCACGTGAATACGAGAGACGGCGGCTGCTTTAATAAATGACGTTTCACGAAGCAGCCCTTCAAAGAGCCGCACGCGTGTTGCCGAGCCCCTGGAGCTAAACAAACACCCCCGTGGGCGCTGCGCGGGACAGAATGTTGGGGCTTCGTGATTTTGTTTCCTTTCTGTGGCTGTCTGGGTCAGGTGACGCGTGTTTTGGCGGTGGGTGGAAATTCCACGTTCTTGTGACCGTGACCGGTATATCTCAGCACAGCACAGTATATGGGTGGGGGGAGGGGTGGGGGCATTGAGAGTTTAACTTTTGCTCGGATTGCCCTGGAGGAATGATAGATGGGCCACGTCTCATCCCAGCCCAACTAGGAATTGAATTCGCAACGTTACTTGACTTGTGCGCTGTATACAGAGCATATAACATACACCCAACCTCTCGGTTTGGCCGAAACATCGAGAAGTTCATACTCTAACGGCAATACAAAACAAATATTGTAGTATACAGTATATGTACTGTACCTGTAAAACACTATTTTATATATCCCCTTTGTGTGCAGCAGAGGGCAGTGTAGCAAACACCCATTAACGTAATGTATGCAACTATGCAACTTCCACGCTCACGTCGAATTCTCACAAACCTTCATCAACACGTAATGGCCAGCCCGGTGAGGTATGGTCAAATACCAAATTCTAGCGGCACGGCGTGGGGAATACCCTTAATCCAGCAGTGAATTGACCATGACTACTGCCGATGAAGAATTGTAACTGCACTGAGCCAGCGAACAGCTGCTAGCCATTGTGACCAACTCGGTCGCGTCGCCACTGACTACTGTGTATCGAGAGCGTGCAGGCGGTGCAACTGCACCGGGACCGATGGGGACCGAGGGGCTCATGGGCCAGGCTACGCAGAGGCGAGGGGGGCCGGGGGTGTAATTGGAGAGGGGAGGGGGCCCCAATGAATCCCTTGACACCAGCAGGGCCCTGGTGCCAACAACGACATTTACATCGGTCTGGAGTGCCCTCCCAGGGCTCAGCAGTCAAAATAACAATAAGAGGCATTCCTTTAGAATCCGTTAAATAAAAACGTAATAATTCAGGAGCCACAATGCCACGTGAATACGACGAAGCAGCGGTTCTTAAAGAGCCACGTCATGCCCCTCCAGAGCCGCAGGTTTGCCGACCTCTGGTCTGGACCAATGTACCAAACCCGTGTATGATATTAGCATCTGTACCAACGAACGGTGTCGTTTTTTCTTCTTCTTCTTCAATGATAGGCCAAGATCAAAACCTAGCACAGCACAACAACCTCAAAGCACAGTTATTGCTTTGTGTTGCGATCGAACCGTCGTGAACTATTATTTTTCTACCTACGTGACTTTACCGAAAGAAAACAAAGAGTATGGGATTCCTTCAGTCACGAAACCTCCAAATCAAGATGAGAGGACGCGATTCCGTCAGCAGTGAGCGTTCGCAAGCAAAGTAGAAATCGCGTAATTGTTGCGACAGTTCCCTTTTTTTACATTTTGCCTGAGAAACGAAGGCAAACGCGCCACGCGGTGACTTAGGGCCGCCGTGCGGTTTGTACGTTCGCGTGTGCAAAAAGGGTGACGTTAACCCCGTTCATCTTCTTCGTTCTCTCGGTAAAGTCACGTAGAATGGAAATATAATAATAAAAAATAAAACGTAATAAATTTTTATTTTGTTTTGTTTTATTTGTATTCTTATTTTATTTTGTTCTATTTGTATTATAATTTTTTTATATAAATAAAAACACCGTTTAAAAATAAATAAATGCAAACCGCCACTTCTTTCAAATGTTTCTTGCCGTTGGTTTTTTCACACCTGATGATGACCGTTTGTGTTATGGTCGAAACGTCGTGAGAATTTTTATTGTTTTATATATATATTTTATTATTTTATTGTTTCCCTTCAACGTGACTTTACCGAAAGAGCTACTGATATAATAATAAAATAATAAAAATAAAACATAACATTTTATTTTATGTTTTATTTGTATTATTTTATTTCCATTCTACGTGGTGACTTTACCGAAAGAACCGAGAAGATGAATCCCTGCAGTCGCGAAAAATTTAAATCGAAATTTAACCCCGTTTCTAACTCTCGGAACGGGTTAATAGATTCTGGCCAACGGTGAACGGTTTTCAACGTTGTCGGTTTGACAACGCGATGGGAAACGTAACATTTAACTTCACTTTAAAAACGATACATTTATATTATGTTTTCCAACTCGGACTCCCTCTCTCTCTCTCGAAGAGCCCGACTTGCCATACATTTCCACGTGATGAGCCACTTGTTCGAGCTCTCATCTGTGGCCAGTTCGCTTCTGAATAAGAGCGACGTAGATCTGTGCGTCTCACCTGGTTAAACGCAAACAAACAAACGTAGCTTTTAGTTTCGTTTTAGCGTTTCGCACGCACCGTCCTGGCGAAACGGTGACCCTGGGCGGCAACTGCATCGGCGTGAACTCCTGGCTCGACTGGAAAGTCCTCGACAGCGGTCTTCTTGCCCGACTCGCCACGACCACGGCTGCCGCTGCTCCCTGGAGGTCGCAGCAGTAGTCACCCATGGTGGACGGGCGGTGAAAGGTGGTGGTGACCTTGTGGGCAGCGAGCAGCAGCAGCAGCGGGCAAGAGCGAGCAGTGAGCTCACATAACCGCACGGGAGCTGAGAGGAAGTCCGAGGAAGGAGGAGGAGGAGGTTTAAGGGATTCAGAATGCGCGTGCACGCACGGAAGGGCTTCACCACGGCAACGCGCGGGGGCGATGGTTGCGGCCGTGACTCTCCGCGTCGCTCCGGGCGGCGTCACCGGGCTGTGAAGGATGGGGTTGGGAGAGGCGGGGTAGGGTGGCCTCTCGTCTATGCGTCTATGTGTGTGTGTACGTTGAACCTCTATAGTACGTTGAACTTGTTTGTCACCGTATGTGGCCAGCCGCGCTAATTGGAGGTTGCTGGGGTCATCGTTACCTGGAGATTACTACAACAGATAACAACCCACCTCCCCCGAGACGCTCACTCATTATACCATCGCCTTCATCAGGGCGTCATTGCAGCCGGGTCTGTCGGAGTCGACGATCCTGAAATACAAAAATAATCCGCTCCCGGAACAACACATCCAGTGTCAACTCACGTGCCGACTCGTGTCTACCAGTGACCCGAAAATATATTCGGTGATACATTAAGGCCCGATCATCATTGTCCGTGTACTATTGCAGCTACTTTTGTGTTGTCAGTCCACTGCTGAACGAGGGCCTCCCCCACACCGCTGCGTTTGAGCAATCCCATTAATCCATAAATGCGATTATTTTTGGCTTGTCATCTCTTTTGAGTTGATCGCGACATTTCTCCGTAGGGCGCTCGCCGTTGCCAAAATTGGCAGCTTTTTTTTCAACCCCGGCAATCAATTTGTCACGCCAAAGTGTCAATCAATTCCCGGGATCACCAACGCACCCGAGCGGTGACATCTCACGGCAAGTCCACACCTGAGCGATCGTGGTCGCAAGCAACCGAATCGCGTTTGTGTCGACGTCTCTGCAAACCACGATCATCGTCAAATATTTACCCACCCGAAACACACCGCGTCCAGTATACGTGCTTTGTACAGGGTGCTTTAAAAAAAAAAGTGAACACTTCCGAGAATTTGCAAAAAAAATGCCACAATAAATGTGCCCTCCGGGCTCTGCAGCTCACCTGGAGAAAATTCCAGGCACGTGTTGACAACGATGGCGAACAAGTGGAGACTCTTTGACTTTTTGAAGCTATTAACATTACATTTGTTTTCATGCTACAGTGTATCATCCGTTCGTTTTCAATTCAAAACGACAGTCCCATAAAAAGTGTTAACAATGTTTTGAAGCACCTTGTGTATGGCAGCCGCGAAACTCTGGTTGAGCAACTTGTCGCTCCGGTGTGGACCAACCGGAACAACTCACCCCGCCGACGACGGAAAATCAACCCGCGACTCCCAACTCAAAAAGCAGTGTAAATACGTATACGGCATGTGTCTGAAACATCAGCACTAGGCGAGACAAAGACGGCCGGGCGTGATGTTAGCCACGCCACCACATCTCCCGCCGTGCGTGCTGGCCTGAATAATAACCTTCGCTAACAACACTTGCACCAGCAGTCTCTTAGACTCAATACAGTGAAGGTGCTTTGTTTCGTCTCTGTGTATGGTCGCGCGTGTGTATTTTGCAATGTGTGCGCGCGCTTGTGTCTTGCGTCGCCATAATCATAACTCCTGGAATGGGAAGGTATGGAGTCACTTTTGATCAACCCACTGCTGAATGAGGACCTCTCCACGCCGTCCGGCTCGTGGTAGATTATTTGACCAAACTTGAACGCTGGTGGGTGCGGGTTTGAAGGCGTAGCAGTACAGGACGACGATATATACGATTTCCGCTCTTCCCTTTTATTGCCCGCAACGCGACAGCCTGTAATATATGTAGAGGATGTTCGAGACATCCTCACACACAAACACCACACAACCACGGGTTGTTTTTTTGTGTTTTTTTGCGGTTGCACCCGATTCAGGAGCCGAATGGCTCACAGGGCTGTACCAAATAAATGAAACTGGAACTGAAGGGTAACGGGAGCGCTGCCGTGTACGACACGCAATCCGAGTGTTGAGTGGAGGAACACTCTGATCGGATTGGCCCCAGAAGGATGAACAAACTGGGGGAAACCTGAGAAGTGAATGAGTGTGGAAAAGGGGGGAGGCGGGAAACGAGCTACATAAGAGAGAAGAGTTGGAGGGTTCGTGGTCGGTTTCCCATGATGAGTGTAAGTACGGTGTGAGTTTGCCCTGGAAACAAAGATCCTGCTTGACCCTCTCAAGTGTCCTCTTCATATCCCTTTGTGGGCTGTATGAATGGGCCAGTGTTCTTCATTGCGAGTAGCCCGCGAGCCACTCGCGGCTTCTGGTGGCCTTTAGTGCGGCCCCTGACTTGCGGCCCCAGACAATAACACACCGAGTGAAAACACCCCCCATCATCATCGTCGTGCTGCTGTCAAACACCCAATGGTTTAAAATGGTGTGGCGGCCCGCACACTGATGATGTCTAATCGGCGAAAGTGCCCAACATCCCTCCCCCACCTCTCTCTCTGAAAATGAGTGAAAGACACTGCCGTAGGCGGTCTCGACCCCCCGCTTCGCTTCCGAGCTCTGGCGCATTCTCGCATATCGGTGGCGACACAGCGACCATCCCTCCCTCCCTGCTCTCGTTGCCTTACAGAGAGAGGAAAAGAGCCACGCCGCCACCATCGTCGTCACCAACCACCACCACCAGGGCGGTTGCGTGGCACGAGCCTCACAGTGCCCCCTTGCTGGGGGAGGGGAGGGGGCAAGTCTCGTCTTGACTGAAGCCGGGCGATGACCCCACGAGGCACACAGACCCGCGGGGGGTATCAGGCACGGCAAACAGCGCATGACTTGTACTGAATTTCGTCGTCGTCGTCATCATCATCATGGGCCATGACCAAACGAATCAATCAATCGACCGGCGGATAAAGGCCACCACCTGATCAACTGAGACCCCCCCCCCCCCACACACACACCCCCCCTTACCGTGTAGCCACGGTGGCAACATGTTAAATACCTCGTCTGGTATACAGGAGGTCGTGGATTCGATCCAGACCCCGACGCCTGCATATTTGGAGTTTGCATGTTCTCCCCGCGGTCGCGTGGATTTTTCTCCGGATCATCCGGGTTTTCCCTCCACATTTAGAAGCAACACGCGTTGAGTATGTGGCTGCAATAAATGTCCACGTGATGAGCCACTTCGTTGAACTACCATCTCTGGCCAGGTCAATTCTGAAAAAAAGTTCTATAGCTCAGTGAGCCTTACCTGGTAAAATAAAAATAGATACAGTTAAAATAAAAACAGACTGTTGGGGTAAGTACTGTTACCGAGCACATGCGGGAGTAGGTGACCAACACCACGCCCGGCCGCCTTTGTTTCCCCAGTGCTGATATTTACAAACCGCGCTGGGCTACCCACTTAAGGCTGAGTCGAACTAGGCGAGACCCAAGCCTGGTTCAAATATCTTCACAGTGTACATCCTCTCGGGCGCGTTGCCTCCTTTCGCTGCCACTCCATGATTGTTCTCGACCACTGGTCATCGTTCCGTCTCGAGACGTGCCCTTCCCACGTCTATGTTCCTGCACATATTGAATGTGTAACGCGTTGCAAAGGTTTTCACAGAATAATTAACTTTTACTGGTCGTGCAGAGAAATTAGTGCCACCAAAGTCGCGCGTTTAATAGTCCAAGGGCTCGGGGAAATTGGGCTATAAAACGCGAGTTTAGGCGTTCCACTTTGCACGCACCTGAAGTTTGGTAAACGTGGAAACGTACGCTACTTGTTTGTCCACAGCAGAGGAGATTGAGAAACACACAAAGGCAAAGATCCCCCGTATAGCCTGCCCAAAGCTGTCGGGGCAAGTGCTGTTAGAACGAACGCTTATGAAGGCAGGAGGTGGCTGGGCGAGGAGGTGGTGTGACCAGGTTCACGCCCAGGCGCATTTGTCTCCACCAGTGCTGATATTTACACAGCACAGAAGGTGCTGATTTAAGGCCGAGTCTACCTAGGGGAGACTCGGGAAAAAATTCCGATACCACTCGTAACCAATGTTAGCGTGGGCAGGGAATCAAACTCAGGTGCCCCCTTGGCTCGTCCCCCTCCTCTCTCTTTGGCCGCCACGAAGTCGTCGATTTCCCCCCCCACCACCACCACCCGTGTAGCCGTGGCGTGTCCTGCACAAGCCCACTCACTTTACTTTGTTGATTGATAGTAAATGTGACGTCTCCAAGTTGCGTGTAATTATTCTTTGACGGGATAGGATAAATTTGTACAGCAACCGGGCCGTTACCCCCGGGGATATCTTCTAGGACTGTTGATGGCAACTGTCTCCTTAACTGTGATGGGGGGGGGGCGCAACGCAACCACAGACCCCCCCCCCCCCCCACTTTACTCACGAGGGCTGGCTTTAACATATATTTTTTTATTTTACCAAGGCCCACTGAACTACGTAGCTCTTTTTCAGAAGCGCACTGGCAACAAATGATAGCCCAACGACGTGGCTTATCATGTGGCAATTTATAACATCCAAATTCTCTCAACGAATGTCTAAATGTGGAGGGAAAAAAACCCTACGCGACCACGAGGGTCTTGCGTTCAATCCCGACCCTGAGGCCTGCTGTTGTATATATTTGGAGTTTGCGTGTCTCTCTGCCCGTGGTCGCGTGTCTCTCTGCCCGTGGTCGCGTGGATTTTTCTCCGGGTCCTCCGGTTTTTCCCTCCACATTTAGAATGAACGTGTGTTTTGAGAGGCTGGGATACATTTCCACATGATAAGCCGCTTCGTTGAGCTATCATTCGTGGTCAGGTCGCTTCTGAAAAATAGCTGTATAGCTCAGTGGGGCCTTAGCTGGTAACATTAAAAAAACGTTTTTAGTTATAGACGGGGTCTACGGCTTCGTTATGAGCAGTAGCCGGCAGCAAACATCCAAAGCTGTACTATATTGCGGGTATGCTCTCTGCCTTCACCGGCCCGCACGCACCAGGAAGGTGAAGTATGGATGAATTTATCCCCCACTGTAACAACCCGCAAGTCGTGGGGGGGGGGGGACCCTCCGCGATCAGCAGTGTATATATGGGGGCAGCTGTGGCATTACATACAGTATACGTTATTGCAATAAATGCTGCAGGCGAATTTCCCTGTCGCGTTGCGATGAGCAGGTGGCCCCAGTAGGTGGCCTCGTGAGACCAGATGGAGACAACCTGGAATCATCCGGTTCAATGGTTCTCAACCTTTTATTATTATTACACACTTTTATTATTACACACTTTTATTATTACACACTTCTATTTAATTTGCCCCGTTGTCTGTTTATATTATTTCAAATCTTTGATGCTTAATATCTTCGCATCTACGAAGCATAACGAGCTGAAATGTTGTACACAGGCTCGTCTCACGTGACAATTCAAGATATAAGTTAAAGAACCGGTCCAGGTCCCGTCTATTCTGGGCCTCTTTGTGTCTTTACTTGAAATGTTATGCATCATTTAAAATATTAAAATTATCCAGACAATAATTAACGATTGTTATTGTCTAGATTTAGATATACAAACTATTTTTACAAGATTAAAATAAAATTGTGCAATAAATTAGGTTAAAAAACATTTTTTTCAATGCACACACTTTTACTTGCACTCAGAAGTATTTTGACCGCAGAATTAATCAAATTTGATGTGCTGAATACAAGTGGGTGGTTTCCTTTCGATATTTTAAA